TGCTTACTTTGGGGCTAGGATAATTGGTGTTTAAAAAAAACAAATATATAGGGTATTTGACAAGTTTTGGAAAACGATCTCACGTTATTTATTAATGTATATGGAGTCCATAAAAAGTGGATATTCATCATTCTCTTGTGTATTTCAGTAAAAATAACTAAATCAAAAACTCAAATTTCAAGTTGCCGCGAAAACGTTTCTCTGGACAATATGGCGTCTCACTAGTGTGTGACGTCACACGACTGTCATAAAAACGTCAAACGATATAATGTAATGTCACTTTGACCGGAAGTTTACTAGTGTGTGACGTCATTTCAGGCTCCGTTAATCCCAGGCGTTTTCAATCACGTGACAATAGATATGAAAACTATTATCTTTTTCGTGGGTTTTTAGTAAAATTATGAATATTTTTTTTTTGTAATAATAGTAAAAACTCCTGCCAATATTCATTCTAAATACACATGCTAACAATTAGCACTGTATTTTTAATACTGTCAAATATCCTATTTACATTATTTTATCGAAGTTTTTCCTGTCATCCCGTGCGCTCATTATGAGTTGAGGTAAATGGGCCATTCTTGGCCGCAACCCGCAGACCTATATTCCGTTACTGTTTGGTGCAGTGCAGGGACACTGCGCATTGTACGTAGGTTGTTGTACCTTGTACAACAACCTACGCAACTGTGTGAAATGGTACGCAACACTTTGCTTACGCCGCATCCGCGTATTGACAAATGGCCAATAGTCGTGTAGGTAAATATTAAATTAATCACATTAATATTATAAAGGCAAAAGTTGTGAGTGTGTATGTTTGTTGCTTCTTCACGTCTAAAAGGCTGGAGCGATTTTAATAAAATTTGGTATGTAGTTAGCTGACACCCTGGATTAACACATAGGCTAAATTTTACTATGGGTGAAAAAAAACTTATTATAGTCATAGTCATAATATTTATTGCTTTATGTTGGTTACATTTAGTTTTTAAATCCAATAATGGCTCGCAAACATGAGCCCTGCAAAGGCATCGCAAATTATAATAAAATTTTACAATTATTAATTTAAAATTTGATAAAATTACAATAGGATAACAATTTAAGATTATTTTAATAGAAAAATTGGTTAATAAAAATATAATTTAAAATTAATTCATATAATACTTTAACAAATAAATAGGTATATTACCCTAGCGTAACAATTTTATAAGTCCATATCCTAAGGTATATAGTATTTTGTTGCTAATTTGTTGCTATTTTGTGCCGCAAGAATTGATTTTGTTGCTCCATGATTTCTCCGAAAAACGCCTGTTACGCTAGCGTAATATTACGCTAGCGAAACCACAGCGATAACTCGGAGGCAAAAGCAGTTAGAGAGATCAGATGAACGGCATATTTTGTTGCTATTTTGTTGCTGTAAGATAAGCTGGTTAGATATGGAAAAATTCCCCCCCTTCATGGGGGCTAACTACCCTTATTCTTAGATATTTCAGATTTTTCGTATCTTGTGAACTAAAGCAGCTAGCGGCACGAGACAAACGTCGTATTTTGTTGCTGTGAGATAAGCTGGTTAGATATGGAAAAATTCCCCCCCTTCATGGGGGGCTAACTACCCTTATTCGTAGATATTTCAGATTTTTCGTATCTTGTGAACTAAAGCAGCTAGCGGCAAGAGACAAACGGCGTATTTTGTTGCTGTAAGATAAGCTGGTTAGATATGAAAAAATATCAGCCCTTCATGAGAGGCTAACTACCCTTATTCTTAGATATCTCAGATATTTCGTATCTCGTGAGCTAAAGCAGCTAGCGACCCGAGACCAACGGCGTATTTTGTTGCTATTTTGTAGCTATAAGATAGGCATGCTGCGTACATCATAATCACAACCCTTATCGGGCTATGACCTACCCCCGACCCTGAAGACACCAGATATTTTGTATCTCGTGAACTAAAGCAGCTAGCGGCACGAGACAAACGGCGTATTTTGTTGCTGTAAGATAAGCTGGTTAGATATGAAAAAATATCATCCCTTCATGACAGGCTAACTACCCTTATTCTTAGATATCTCAGATATTTCGTATCTCGTGAGCTAAAGCAGCTAGCGACCCGAGACCAACGGCGTATTCTGGTGTCTTGGGGTCGGGGGTTGATCATACCCCGATAAGGGTTGTGATTATGATGTACGCAGCATGCCTATCTTATAGCTACAAAATAGCAACAAAATACGCCGTTGGTCTCGGGTCGCTAGCTGCTTTAGCTCACGAGATACGAAATATCTGGTGTCTTCGGGGTCGGGGGTTGGTCATACCCCGATAAGAGTTGTGATTGTGATGTACGCAGCATGCCTATCTTATAGCTACAAAATAGCAACAAAATACGCCGTTGGTCTCGGGTCGCTAGCTGCTTTAGCTCAAGAGATACGAAATATCTGGTGTCTTGGGGTCGGGGGTTGGTCATACCCCGATAAGGGTTGTGATTATGATGTACGCAGCATGCCTATCTTATAGCTACAAAATAGCAACAAAATAATACGCCGTTGATCTCGGGTCGCTAGCTGCTTTAGCTCAAGAGATACGAAATATCTGGTGTCTTGGGGTCGGGGGTTGGTCATACCCCGATAAGGGTTGTGATTATGATGTACGCAGCATGCCTATCTTATAGCTACAAAATAGCAACAAAATACGCCGTTGATCTCGGGTCGCTAGCTGCTTTAGCTCAAGAGATACGAAATATCTGGTGTCTTAGGGTCGGGGGTTGGTCATACTCCGATAAGGGTTGTAATTATGATGTACGCAGCATGCCTATCTTAAAGCAACAAAATACGCCGTTAGTCTCGGGTCGCTAGCTGCTTTAGCTCACGAGATACGAAATATCTGGTGTCTTCGGGGTCGGGGGTTGGTCATACCCCGATAAGGGTTGTGATTATGATGTACGCAGCATCCATATCTTATAGCTACAAAATAGCAACAAAATACGCCGTTGGTCTCTGGTCGCTAGCTGCTTTAGCTCACGAGATACGAAATATCTTGTGTCTTGGAGTCGGGGGTTGGTCATACCCCGATAAGGGTTGTGATTATGATGTACGCAGCATGCCTACCTTAAAGCAACAAAATACGCCGTTTGTCTCGTGCCGCTAGCTGCTTTAGTTCACGAGATACGAAAAATCTGAAATATCTAAGAATAAGGGTAGTTAGCCCCCCATGAAGGGGGGGAATTTTTCCATATCTAACCAGCTTATCTTACAGCAACAAAATAGCAACAAAATATGTCGTTCATCTGATCTCTCTAACTGCTTTTGCCTCCGAGTTATCGCTGTGGTTTCGCTAGCGTAATATTACGCTAGCGTAACTGGCGTTTTTCCGAGAAATCATGGAGCAACAAAATCAATTCTTGCGGCACAAAATAGCAACAAATTAGCATCAAAATACTATATACCTTAGGATATGGACTTATGAAATTGTTACGCTAGGGTAATATACCTCAAATAAATAAGAATAGGTATATGCGGAAGTGTGTCTATTAGTCTGTACCTCTTCACGTTTAAACCGCTGAACCGATTTGAATTACTATTCAAACTAAATTGCTCCTGGAACTGGTGATGTGGTTGATTTTGTCTTTTTTTGAATTGATTGTTATTTGTTACTTTTAACATAAAACAATCAAATAGGTACTTTTGAAAGTAAGGTTGGCTCCATGGAGGTTAGAGAGAAGGAGAACGATCGCTACGTGCTAAATCATTAGCCCGCCTGTCCCTGAAAATTTGCGGAAATTATAGTTCATTTTTCAGCCACCAGCCGCGCTGTTGTCGGTAAGTAGTATCTGTGAAGTTAGCTGTTTATGAGTACAAGTAGATGAAGTTAGTTGAATATTGTGCGTCGCAGCATTGGCCATTTCAAATTAGCCCGCTTTTATTGAGACAACTTAGCGATCGCAGCGCCTCACTTATTTTATCCATATCTCTGGGACACTATTTTCTACAGCGATTCTTCCCCTTTTCCCTAACCTCCATGCTTTAATTAATTATAAAAAAAACGTTAAGCGTTAGGTCAAGAAATGTATGTCAATCTCGAGCTCCTTCGTGCTTCGTAAGGCATGTTAAGCTGTTGGCACCGGCTGCATCTGCAGTCGTTAGCACCCACCAATCTAATAAAGGGGAAAATAAATTGTAACGACAATGTTAACTTTTTACCTCAGTAAATATTATGTTATAGTAATGTGTAACATTGTACACCAGATAGTTGATAAGGCTTTTATTACATACGTAGATACCATAATTATTATTAAAGTGACAACATGAGGAAGGCATAGATTAGATAGATGCAGAAATGATCACTACCAGCGGCGCGCAGCGAAATTTTTCAACCATTTTCTTAACCTTTTTTCTTAATCATCTAAGAAAGCTTTTTTTTATTCACTCTCTCCTAACTGGTTAAGAAAAAATATTGTTTTATCGGTTGTTATGTCCGTCAGTAACTCAATAAAAAACGAGACTGTCCCTTATTTTTTATTTCGTCAATCAACAAAAAAAAAGGTAAAGCGCGTCAAAGTTTGAAAGTGACGTCTCTTCTAAGTAAAAATTGTACCAAGACATGACGTCATGCGAGATTTCAAATCAATATATCACTATAATGTTTCTTATTATGTGAAAAAAAAATACGTGTCCAATACTTTTCGATGGTCGCGTATGATGTGTAACATTTGAAACCTCACCTTATATTAGTAGAAAAAGAAATAAAACCTACTACAAAAGGATTTATTATTGAGCCATTTGAACATTATCAAATCAAATAGCGCGTTTTTGCGACTTCCTGTTACACACTTCCGTCCCATTTCACGAAATCACTCCCACAAATTGCAGGAAAGCGAGAGGAAAGATGTTTCACATCAAAAAAAGTTAGCCATCATACCTTTTCTTTTGTCGCGTCTACATAAGTTGTTTATTCTTTGCCGTGTACATCTTTATTGCTTGTTTTGTTATCAATGTTAAGTCCACAGAGCGGTCAGTTCACATCGGTCCTGCTAGCGAGTGACACGTTCCTCGCTCATACTGCTCAAGTTAATTAACGATAATGGAATTCAAACCCACCGGTGAGGCGATAAAGACGTTTTTACAGTGGCTTTTTATCTTCTGTGTTTTAAGGAAGGGGAAATGAATGATAAACTTCTTTAGATCACAGTTTATTCAACAAAAAAGTCAATTAAATGTTTTTTTATTCGTTTTGATGTGGAACTACTGTTGCTATGGTTTTGAGAGGCGTCTGTTCAATGGCAACGCTTGCAGTGGCAAATATACAGACAGATAACGCAAGTGTATTTTTGAAGTGCAACTTCTTTACGCACGTTGGACTTGGGGTAAGCTGGCGAATGCGTTACGCGTTACGAAAAGTGTGTTCGGGCGAGGCGAACGGGAGTTGAGTGGGGGATATAAGCAGGAGAAAGCAGTGCGCGTGCACATTTTCTTTCTCTCTTTCTCTTATAGCTATTAAATGAAATACTAGCAAACCAGTGAACCAAATGTTCACCAAAAAAAAATGTATTTAATTAATTGAGAACTTCGGAGATTTTGTGTGGTTTCGTTTGAAATAGAAATCAAGTGATTTCTCGAAAACCGGAAGTGCTACGTTACTCACATCCGGTTTGTAGTCTTATCAGACTATTCTTAACTTATAACTTAAACATTCTCTATACCTATCTCTTACGGTTTGGCCGCTGAAACAGCACCACGGACGGACGGACGTACTTGTCTAATAGATAAGAGATGTGTATGAACAAACATGTATATATTATACACACATACTACTTCGCGTGCCAAAAGACAGACCAATGGTCATCCTTTAACACTTATTATTTTCTTCGCTTTGCCGTTCACGATTCCGTGCGTCAATCAACAATCATACGTAATGATTTAAATCATCATCAGCCTATTAATGTCCCTACTACTGGGGCACAGGCCTTCCCTATGGATGGAACCCACCACGCGGGCCCATTGCGGATTGCCGGGAGCTATCGACTGCAGATGCAGCCGGGACCAACGGCTTAACGTGCCTTCCGAAGCACGGAATAACTCGAGTTAGAAGATTTTTGGTCATCCATCCAATGACCGACCACTGCGAAAGTTGCTTAACTTCAACGATTGCAGCCGAACACACTAACCACCCGCGCCATCGAGCTCCTCGACGTTTTAAATAAATATATCTCACTATCATATTAAGCTGTAAACGATATAATTAAAAAAAGTGTCCGGGCCCATGCTTTATCACCATTTGTTTTGATTATTTCATCATCATCATCATAATCATTAACAGCCTATCATAGTCCACTGCTGGACATAAGCCTCTCCAAATGCACGCCACTCAGATCGATCTTGGGCTACTCGCATCCAGCTCCTGCCAGCCACCTTGCGCAAATCGTCACTCCATCGTGCCTGAGGATTTGATTATTTATTTCAACTTAATTGCACAAATGTACAAAAGGCGGATTTAATGCCTTTAGGCATTTCCTCTCAGTCAACCGGAGAATTGCAGCTAAGTCTTAGAAGGTAGTGCAAAAAGGAAAGTTCTAGGTGATTTTTCAATTAAATTAACCTACAGAAAATATCTAATATATAAAATTCTCGTGTCACGGTGTGCGTAATTAAAGTACTCCGAAACGGCTCGACCGATTTTTTATATGCATAGTCTGAGAATCTGACATCTATTTTTCATCCCCTTAAATGTTTTTCCCCAATTTATTTTTATTTTTTTGGGACTTAATTTATTGTTTTTATTTTTTTATGATACAAAAATACATACAACCCTAAAATTTTCACCCCTCTACCACCAGCCCTTATTTTTATGGCGGTACGAAGTTTACTGGGTCAGCTAGTATTTATATAAAATATTATTAAATTATATAAAATAAATATATCTATACACCTACATACAACATACGAGTATAACCGCCAACCTCCTTGGCCGAGTGTTTTGTACGCTGGGTTTCAAGGTATCGCCTACTCCAAGGGCCCCGGATTCGATTCTCTGTGGGTGATGTTTGTATGATAAATACGAGCATATTGTAAGGCTTATTTATTTATTTATTCAATTTAAACATGCAGGCTTACAGAATAATCCAAAGCGCCGGCAAGACATACATACAAAATATTTACAATCATAGAAGGTATACATTAAATTCAATAAAATTAAGAAAAAGAGATAATCAAATAATAATAATTATAACAACAACAAAAAAAAACAGTAATGCCAAATAGATAGGTAATGTCAAATAGTATTTAATAGAAACAAAGTCAAATCACCCATTGTAAAAGTTAATTAAATTTATAATAAAATAGTTATGTCAAATCAATAAAACAATTAATAATGTCATATCTAATGTTTATTATCTTATTTATGTTTACGTTTTGTTTGTTTGTTAATGATTATAACCATAGTCATTTCTGTGATTATTACATATATTAGTCGCGGCACGAAAATCTAGCGCTGACCGTTATTGCACTGAATTAAAACATTAGAGATGACAAGATGTCTTGGGGAGAAATATGGTGCGCGGGTGGGCGTTCGTTGCGCCGATTAGATCTCCAGTCGTACCCATGCGTAGGGATGAAACGACACCAGATACAAGTAACTACTCGATACCACGGTAATATTATCTACCGTGTCGATACTTTTCTTGCGATACAAAGTACTTTTGGCATCGATACTTTAGAACTGAGTATCAAGTAGTATCGTGAAGTAAGTACTTGTATCGATACTCGGTCGGTCACTTACTGAGAAGTATCAAAAAACTCATAGGCAGATTATTTACTCTGGTAAGGTGTCTAGTTGCAATTTTTGTTTCGCGAACGCATCTTTTTTACTGTTCAATTGGCAGCTTTGCGTATGATTTATATTTATTCCAATTTATTCAGTCAGTCATTCGTTCATCGCGTGGCGTGAGCCGTTATTTTGTTTTAGTTAAATTAAAACTGTGACTGAATTTGTAATTGTAATATTGTTCGTCAAAATTTATCGATACAAGTAAGTATCGATACTTTTCATTCGATACCGAGTAGACATCGATACTTTATGAACGATACATTATCGAGTAAAAGTATCGATACCTAGATGGTATCGTTTTATCCCTACCCATGCGCAGCTATCCCCACTGCGTTTTGTTCTGCGCTAGAGTTCCGTGCCGCGACCTGTAAGTAGCGACACCTTCAGATGTTGTCCTGCCCGATAATACTGTTGGTACCTTAATTAAGACCAAAAGCATAAACAACAGACAGAGAAACATAATAGATTATTATAAACCCACAGAACATCAGCACGTCAGATACAATCCACTTAAAGATGAATGGATCCTGGTTTCCCCTCACCGGTGCCTCCGACCCTGGAGTGGACAAACTGAGGAGTCACCTACGGAAGACCAATCCCCTGACCTGAACAACCCACTGAGATCTGGTGCCACCAGAGCTAACGGACAGGTATACATCAGCCTCTCAAAGTCTCCAATGCTAGGGCACAAAACTATGGAAGACCAAGCCCCTGACCTGAACAACCCACTGAGAGCTGGTGCCGCCAGAGCTAGCGGACAGGTGTCAACCATCAGCTTCTCAAAGTCCCCACTGCTACGAAACAAATCTATGGAAGACCAAGCGCCGCACCTGAGCAACCCACTGAGATCTGGTGCGACCAAAGCTAACGGACAGGTTTGAACCATCAGCTTCTCAAAGTTCCCAATGCTAGGGCACAAAACTATGGAAGACCAAGCCCCTGACCTGAACAATCTACTGAGAGCTGGTGCCACCAGGTCTAATGGAGAGGTATGAATCATCAGCGTGGGACATAAGCCTACAAAAGACCGAGCCCCTGACAAAACACACTAAAAGCTATTGCTAGATTTCAAAATTCCTGCCAGAATACCAGCGCTGACACAGTGAGAAAGTACTTTCTCATCGTGTCAGCATAAGCTGAGCAGGGTCCTGATTGGCTATCTTAGAATTTTGTGTTCTTTTTTATTTTTTGTTTTCTTAGGTTAAGTTTTCTTGTATTTCATTTTTTATTTTATTTTTTTATTTTTTATTGTTGTATTGATAAGTTTTTCTTTTGTTAAGATGGCCAATAAAAGGTTTCATTTCATTTCATTTCAAAATACGAGCCTAAATAGGCGTCCCTAGTCACAATCAAACTCGTCATAACCCAGCACTTTCATTTGATGAATTTGTGGAACAAGTTTTCTGTCAGTCTTTCCCCAACGAAATACAGGATTATTTTCTTCAATAGTGGAACTTACTAATTTTAATATAAATCGGCATTTCTTTTCAGAAAAATCCAATTTACACTTCTACTTATGTGTTCCCGAACGACTTCCCAGCGCTCCTTGCACGAGTGCCTGAACCTCCACCGGCTGATCATCCTCTGTTTCAATCTAGTCAAGCAAAGGGCACATGTAGGTAAGAAAATGTATCCCCTCGGGTGTATGTTGGGCCAAGTGGCAGAATGTCCAGTGTGTCACAATGAAAAGGAATTAATGCCCGATTGTTTAAATGCCCAGTTGTCATAACTTCCAGGTGTTAAAACAACAAATTGCTAAAATGTCTTATTGCCATAATGTTAACACACGCACACACACTGACACTTCGAGTTTTATAACATCTGTACCCCTAGCACAAACCAATATCGAATTCGTAACGTTTGCGATTCCGAAATGTCATTGTCAAATGTGTACTGATTTTTAGTTCTCATTACGTACTTTGTGGCGCTACAGTTCAAGTTTCCATACAAAATTTGACATTAACATTTCGGTTTGCAAACTATTCGAATTCGATAATGGTTCGTGTTAGGGGTACTGTAATCGGCGGTCAGAAATAACAAAATAAAATCGTAATCTATAGCGATAGCCATAGCAATTCCGTTAGGCCATTGACCCTCCGTAAGTTAGTCAGGCACTCGGGCATTGTATATATTGTTACGTGTCGGGATGGGGTTCGAATTTATATGCCAGTTCACGCTTGACAGTACTTTATTCACCACACAATTAATACACAATGTTAATCACAGAACACTCACTAAACACTGTATTTCACTATACAAGTCTCTAAACAATCTCACTTGAACACTTTATAACGTTATTTCTCCTGCGGTTACGAGACTATTTCCATCACATGCCTGTGATACTCGTACTGTGGGGGCTAAAAGACGTCCAGCTCGTGCCCGCTCTGCAACCGAGTCCACGCTACAATCAACCTGAGTAGCGGTTGACATTGTCCGGTTTCTCCGCTGGACCGGGCAGTTAGTCCTGATGTGCCCTCGTTCTCCACATCCATAGCACATTGGTCCACCTCGAAGCTTGACTGCTGCAACAACTTCTCGCACTCTGTGTGTCTTGTAGTCATTGCGTACTGCTTCTACCTCCAGGGCGTGCGCTAAAGCAGCTTCCAGGGTCGTGTGATGTCCCAATCTCTTATGCCATCCACAAAAGCTTGAACTACAATGTCTTCTATGGATGTCTTACTGGACGCATAAGCGCGACGCACCAGTCGTTCACTCTCCGTGGCCCACTGCTGCAATCCTTCTCCTGGTTTCTGTGACCGTTCTTTTAGTTGCGCTCGATACACATGTTCTAGGTGTTTATCCCCGTAACGAGCCTCCAGAGCTTTGAGGAGAGTTTCCAAACTTCGTTGATCGGCTGGTACATTTTCCAATATCAGAAGAGCATCCCCCCTGAGCGCAAGAGTGAGTGCGGTCAGGGCATGTTCGTCCTTCCAGCCGTTCCCTTTGGCTACGACTTCAAATTGGTGCCTGAATGCCGTCCAAGAAGTTGTACCATCAAACGCCAGTACTTTAAATTTTGGTGCCGTGGTACCCGTGGTTTCCATAGCGGTGCTGATAACCTTGGTTTCTTGAAGGTCTCTTAACATTTTTTCATGAGCCATAAGAGTCTCCTGATGTTCGTGTAGGACCTCTTGGTGTTTGTTGGTACGGCTTTTTACGCATTCCATTTCTTACTGGATGTTACACAAAATAGCTTTAAATACATCAAGCTTCGAGTCAAGAGCTGCATTTATGTCCTCCTTGACATCCTTGACGTCCGCGCGAATAGACTGTATAGCCGCCATCAAGGTCGATAAGTCAATCGTAGGCGCTGTGGTAGTAGTGGTAGCACCACTGTGGTGAGCAACATATGGTTTGCTGTACTCTTTATCAGGCGCCGCTGCTCCCGACTCCCGCGAATGGTCCATTACGGCCTGCCTTCGAGTGAGTACGCCTTCGCTTCCGTCGCGAGGTTTGACTGGCATCCCACTTCTGACACCAGTTGTTACGTGTCGGGATGGAGTTCGAAATTATATGCCAGTTCACGCTTGACAGTACTTTATTCACCACACAATTAATACACAATGTTAATCACAGAACACTCACTAAACACTGTATTTCACTATACAAGTCTCTAAACAATCTCACTGGAACACTTTTGTTGCACTTGGATCGCCTTTGGATTCGCTCCGAAATCGCTGTTGAAACTCAACTGTCTCTGCGCGGCGCCAATCGCGCTTATATACGCCGATCGACGCATTCTAGAAAGTACCTGTTAAATTGAGAATTACCTAGCACCCGCGAGTACGAAGTACCTACTTATACCTACGCAGGTAACACGCATAACTTGTAAACAAGTGCAGATGTCGTTGCACTTTCTCCCTTACGTCGCACTGCATAAGGCTCATTTTAGAATGAGCCGCATTACTCGACCTCTATCGCGACCCGCAGTGCTCTGGCAAATTCGATCTCTAGCACATTCGCGGTTCCGTTTCGAGAGCGTTTGTGACAATATATATATATATTGTTAGTCTCGAAATTTCTCTTGCGCGATGTAGGCTTCCATACTTTTTGTGTGCAGCGACGGTAGAGCCATCTATTGTTATGGACTGTCAAGTCTTGCTTCGCCAATTATTTATATGTGCAGCGTGTGGATGTCGAACTCACCACACGGGTACTACTGATGGACGCTAACGAGCGCTAACATCACTGCCCACTTATGACACTTATATATTACGACACGTGGTAATATATAAGCAGCAGGTAGCTTTAGCCACGCACGCTTTATAAAACGCGTAGTAGCTCAAGATAATAAATTTTTGGTCATTCATCCAATGAACGGCTATTGCAAAAGTTGACATCGACTCGTCACAAAATCTTGTGATTGCAGACACATTTCTGTTTCCAAACTTAAAAAGACTTTTGGGGCAATTACCGTCTATATTCTTTAATTTAATCTTACATATAAACAAGGAATAAATTAAAAAAGAATTTTAACAAAATTACCTCTACCTTTCCTGAATGTGCTCCTTCCACTATGGAAAGGACTTGCCTAGTGTGGTTTCAATATAAACTGATGTTGAATACAAATTTGGGGGTTTTCTTTTTACAGAGTGATGTGCTTCCACCCAGATTCGACCATGACGATACCGTTGATGACTATAGCTGAAATTGAGGCAGTCATTGAAGAGTGAGTAACTATGTTTCTGAAGGTAACAGAGAATTTTTACACAACTCGCAAAAAAGAGTGTAATAAATAAAATAAAAAATAAAATAAATATTTCCGACACTCACACCAATTAGCCTAGCCCCAAAGTAAGCACTATAAGGCTTGTGTTATGGGATGCTAGGGTAACGGATAGAATACATATACTGTACATAAATATAAGTATATTTATATAAATACATATTAAACATCCATGACTGGAGTACAAATTGCTCGTATTCATCACACAAACATCTGCCCCCACCGGGATTCGAACCCGGGACCTCTCGAGTCGGCGACAGCCATGCAACCCGGCGTACAAACCACTCGGCCACGGAGGTCGTCGTAATGTTTTCAGAATTCATGTACCTGTGTTATTTTGGTATTATTGGATGACTATAGCTGAAATTCAGGCAGTCATTGAGGAGTAAGTAACTATGTTTTTGAAAGTAACAGAATTTTTACACAACTCGCAAAAAAGAGTGTTGTTCAGAATAAATGTACCTGTGTAATTTTGGTATTATAAGTAGAATGCTTTTCCCAAAGCCGAATATTTAGTTAAAAATTAAATTAATTTATTTTTCATGACATTAGGGATATTCGATCCCTTAAATAAAAAGGAGATGATTTTATAAAGTTAAAACTTCTTTAGCACCGTTGTGATTTGAAATTCGGTGAAACGAAAATTTCACAGTATTTGACACAAGGTGTCCGTAATTTATTCATAGAGGCATAGATAAATAATTGGTCTCGCTAACGAGAGCAATCATTCATCTATGCATAGAGGTATAAAAATAGAGTGGGGAAGGCGGCTCTAAAAGTGTCCGTCTAGCCGTCTCTCATCTTCCTTCTCTTTCTATTAGAGGCACACTTCCACTTGTAGGACAGTCTATATCTCCCCTACTCTATTCTTATACCTCGGTAACGGTCTTGGAGTCGAGTCCAAATGATTGGTAGGTCGATCCTGAGCTCGGTTATTTTTTTTTATAATATTAATTTTTTAGGTGGGTCAATCAATTAAAGGAGCTAGGGCGCCGATTCACCTGGGTCCAGATTTTTGAAAACAAGGGTGCCATCATGGGGTGTTCCAATCCCCACCCCCACTGCCAAATATGGGCATCTAGCTTCTTACCGAACGAACCTAGAATCAAAGACAGGTGGGTTAAGTATCAATTTACATTTTTTTTTATACGCAGGCAAAACCTCTATGTACAGACGAACGGACCTCACACCTAGCCTCTTGCAAGCCTGGCTTACGAGCGCTTACGGCATACTATCCGCCAAAAAACCCTGCAAACACTACAACTTGTGAAAGAAAGCAAAATATTTCGTACCAGTCCCCGTAACGTAAGCACCACACCACCATTACCACATTATATCACGTTTTTTATCACGTCTAACTGTCAAACTCCATAGTAATTTGACAACAATGGTATCGATTCAAGCGTGATTCTCTAAAGCTAAACTTAAATTTGACAACAGTGTCATTCTTTATACAGAATGAAAAGGACAGACTGTTTTCAAAAAGTTTAGCTTTAGAGAATCATGCCAGTATCGACACCATTGAGCGTAATAAAAACACGTTATTAAGCGACATTGGAACAGCAAAATCGCTTAAATGCCACTTTCGTAACTTTACAGAAACGAGGATCAATATTTTTTTTTCCACAAAAACAGCTCACTGTTAACATTGAGTTATGGTTTTTAATTTACATTGAGTTAGCGATATATAAATAAAAAAACCATTTTCATAAAATAATATTTTGATCAAATCATACGCCAAATAGGACCAGTGACATCTTAGGCCTATTGTATGCCCTGCATATTCGGATAATGGGGCCCCTATGTGATCTAACAGGAACTAGGGACTTTTTATTTGATCTGAATCGCCCCTATCGATCGTGGAGCCCTGGGCACTTGCCCAAAGTGCACACTGGGAAAGAGGGGTCTTAATAGTACACCAGTGTAATCAAGTTTACAAATAGCAAATACGAATAGCCATGTTAAAGCGGGCTACTGACATCTCTGCCGTAGGGATAATCTAGGGTGTAAGAGTGGGGATGACCCTTAATTGCCTCCTAAATTGTGTTGTGTGCAGGCAAGCAGGGACAATTTTCTAAATTGGCCCTGCGACAGGGCGGCAGTTGCGCGAGACCACCCTTGGTTCCTAGATTGTCCCTGCCAATCTGCACGTTGCCCCGTGTGTAGCGCGAACGGCGTAATTTCTCAATCAGTTGGTTGGTAACTGTCACACGGAGCGCACGTATTTTGATCAAGATAGTGGCAAATCATAATGAGCATGAAGCTTGGTCTCGAGTGATAGAAGTATATAAAGACGGACCCCACATACAAGATATAAAAACACAAACATTATTTATTAACAATACATTTCTTTCTGCTGCCATTATTATTCACCCAGTATTTCCTTTTTGCACTAACGAAAGAGCTAAGGCCATACCTACCGATCTTTTGATTTTTTGATAATACTGGGGCCATTATACATGCGTGTGTTTAGCTCAACTTATACCCGAACACTGAATAGCAGGCATGTGTGTAGAGACAAGCCGATATTGCTCCGACTGCCGTACTCCCTAGATTGGCCCTGCGGCAGGGATGTCAGTAGCCCGCTTATAACGATCCTACAAGTACAATGCGACTAACAGAACTATACTTTTCTGTCGTGTCGTGTTGTGTTGTGACGCATCAAAAAGCTATCTGTTTCATACATTTAGTATGGTTAGAGTGAGAACGCTGTCGACACATCGCGACAGATCGCAACACACAATTATACTTTTAACCGTACTAAATGTATGAAACTCACAACACGTAAGATAAGTATAGTTTATTGCTGCTGCCTTTATTGCTATAATAGTGTCGATTCTGACATGATTATTTAAACTATGGAGGTAAGAGAGACGGAGAACGATCGCTGTAGAAAATAGTGTCCCAGAAATATGGACAAAATAAGTGAGGCGCTGCAATCGCTAAGTTGTCTCAATAAAATCGGGCGCTAATTTGAAATAACCAATGCAACGAAGAAAATTTCTACATTGTTCAACTAACTTCATCTACTTGTACTCATAAACAGCTAACTTCACAGATACTACTTATAGACGGCAGCGCGGCTGGCGGCTGAAAAATGAACTATAAATTCTACAAATTTTCAGGGGCAGGCGGGGTAATGCTTTAGCACGTAGCGATCGTTCTCCTTCGCTCTAACCTCCATGCTCTAAACCTAAACTTTTAAAACAGTGCATCCTTATCATTCTCTATGCGGAATGAAAAGGTGAGACTGATGTTCAATTTTGATTTTAGTTTAGAAAATCATTCCAGGGTCGACACCAATATCAGTATGTAATTAAATTTCTCTTTTTTCTTCCAGAACGCAAAAAGATTATTACATTAAACATGGAAAACCACTATTAGTAGATTACTTAAATGAAGAATTAAGAAAGGAAGTAAGTGCAAAGCTGTATTTCCTTACAAAAAATAATTTAATTTAATTTTTTGAAGATTTACAAACAAATCGTATCTTTATTATAGATATTAACGGGATTGTTACCATGTACCTTGTTTTTAATGAGTCGCCGATATTATAGTGAGTATTGTATGCTGGGAACAAATGCAAGTGAATAGTGAGAATGTGACCAGTGGTAGGGGTATCGAACGCAGTAAAATACGACGTCAGAGGGTAGACCGATATGTCTGCCAATAACATCTACCCGTAATTACTTCAGTTACTCCGTGATCATGGCGCTTGCAACAGTACCGAAATATCGGAGACTCACAAAAAAACCAAGGTACATGGCAACAATCCCGTTAATATCTATAATGTTAGTGACCATGAAAGTTTAAAACAATAAAATCGTTTCTTCAGTTTGCATAATAAATATGCATATGCTAATAAGAAATCTCGACAACTATGAGATGAATGATATCCATTACCCTCGATCTGGATTGGCTGCATTAGGAGCTCTATGGCTCAGGTCTTTGGCGCGTTCTAATTGCAATAGTGGAAGTTAAACAACTTTCGCAGTGGTCGGTCATTGGATGGATGACCAAAAGCTTATTATCTCAAGCTCCTCCGTGCTTCGGAAGGCACGTTAAGCCGTTGGTCCCGGCTGCATCTACGGTCGTCAGCACCCACCAATCTACAGTGGGCCCGTGTGGTGGGTCATATAAATAGTTGTATGACGCTTATGACGCATTTTTTCGATCCTTAGTGTATTTGTTATTCGACAGGAACGAATAGTGATCGAGAACACTGAATGGGTAGCACTAGTGCCATACTGGGCCACGTGGCCCTATGAAACCATGGTGCTACCCAAGAATGGAAGTCCACAACGTCTGACGGACTTAAATGAAGACCAGAAAACAATGTTGGCTGATATCATGAAGAAGTTGAACACGAAATATGACAATTTGTTTAACTGCAGCTTCCCTTACTGTATGGGATGGCATGGTTAGTGTTTGACGGCTTTGGTTATGGTTATATTTTTAAGTATTTAACTGCTAGATGTTTAAATCTATAGAAAATTGCACTAGAAAAAAATCTACGCAGACAAGCATTGGATTCTGTAAAGACACAAAATTTTCACGCAACGGATTTGTGTCGGATCCGTTATCGATCTGTGCGTGACAATTTTACAGAACTGTACCCTTAGCACGAACCAAAATCGAATTCGTAACGTTTGCGAGTCCGAAATGTCATTGTCAAATCTGTACTGTTTTTAGTTCTCGTACGTAAGTAAGTACTTTGTGCCGCTGCTGTTCAAGTTTCCATACAAAATTTGACATTGTCATTTCGCACTCGCAAACTATTCGAATTCGATAATGATTCGTGCTAGGGGTACTCCAGTAGTGCTATTTGCTTTCACGCGCGGATCCATAGCGAAATCCGTTACAGATCCGCGCGTGAAAATTTTGTGTCTTCGCAAAATAGCACTGCAGGCAGCAGACGAGACTCGAACCCGCACTCCCCGCTATCCGGGCGGATGCACTGAATGCAACTGCAGCCGCGGATGTATAGTGACGGTGAAGTCCAGACGTGAAGATGGCTGGTAGAGTCTGTGCGAAAAGAGAATGGGCGTGGCGAAAAACGGAACTAACATTAAGATTTTTATTTGGCAATCAAACCCAGCAATCTGTAAAACGTCAAAGTTTTGTATTGATACACATTTGTTTGTTGTTGTTACTTCTTGCGGTTTTTTGTATTTAATCATATCTAAAGGGGTAAAACCTTACAAATACGGTAGAAAAGCACTACAGCGCCCTCCAATCTAAATCCCATTCTCTTTCCGCACAGACTCTTCAGCAGTTCGACCTGTAGGGTTGCTGTTGCTACCTTTTTTTTGTCCAAATAAAGTACATGGGATATCAAAACTAGAAAAAAAGTAGGTTGTGTCCATAATAAAGTACTTTTTATTCCACTTTATTCGTAAGCTTAAAAATATATTTTACGTTGCTTTCTAGCAACTTTAAATAAATAGCTACTAAAAATCTGTAGTTCTTCTCCGCAACGGGAAAGGTCATAATGCAAAGCCATGCAGCCACTACAATGTTGCAAAAATGAGCTAAGGGGGACACCCCTCAGCTCATTCTTATTATTTTATTATACTTAATGTTTGTCTGTTTTACGCAAATATACTCCTTTTGTATATTTAATCCTCGAGAAATCAATCACATTAAATAAAATATTTATGCGTACTTTATTGTAGGCATAAAGTATAGAGTACAATAACCAGTACGAAACAACGTACAATCTCTTATCTATTAGACAAGTCCGTCTGTCTGTGGTGCTGTTTCAGCGGCCAAACCGTAAGAGATAGATAAAGAGAATATTTAAGTTATAAGTTAAGAATAGTCTGATAAGACTACAAACCGGATTTGAGTAACGTAGCACTTCCGGTTTTCGAGAAATCAGGTTTTGGTGAACATTTGGTTCACTGGTTAGCTAGTACTTTATAATAAAGTACGGGTGGCAACCCTATCGACCTGCCACACCAGCCATCCTCACCATGCCGGCCTGCATGTTGCTTCTTCAGGCCTCTTTTAAAGGATCCCAGGTTGCAAGAGGGAGGGAACACGTGACCGGGCAGAGCATTCCCTTTTCGGATAGAGCGACAAAGTAATGAGCCACTTAATTCCTTTGTACGCGTTGGAATTGTGGCCACAGTTAGCCAGATTCTCCGTATCTGCCCGGTTAGCAGCACGGATTGCGGAACATACACATTAACTTTGATCCCTTGGTCCCGGTTGCATATGTAACTGAATATGTAGGCAGCATTAGTGGGTAGTAACTAATGGATTAAACACATTTGGTAGGATCAAGGTGGAATAAATTATAAAATACTTAAATATTTCTTACTCTCCCACCAATTAGCCTAGCCCCAAAGTAGACACTGTAAGGCTTGTGTTTTGGGATACTGTACATATTTAAGCATATTTATATAGAAATACATATTAAACATCCATGACCGGAGTACAAATGCTCGTATTCATCACACAAACATCTGCCCCCACCGGGATTCGAACGCGGGACCTCTCGAGTCGGCGACACCATGAAACCCGGCGTACAAACATATATACATACGTATTTAATTTTATTCATGACTTGGATACAAATGCAAAAACATAACTAAAAATTAATTTTACATTTAATTTTCCAGGAGCTCCAACGGGACCCAACCATCTACCCTCAGATTCTCCGCACTGGCTACTGCATGCGTTGTACTTACCTCCTCTTCTCCGTTCGGCTACTGTAAAAAAGTTCATGGTTGGCTATGAAATGCTCGCACAACCACAGAGAGACTTAACACCCGAGCAAGCTGCGCAAAGGCTGAGGGAATGCGATCACTCAGTCCATTATAAAAATAAAAACTGACGAAGAAAAATGTCATGAAAAACGGTTCTAACCAATATTTGTTTCTTAGGTTTTCACGCACATCACTTTCTGACGATGCAGACCTGAAAAGGCTGCGAAACGTCAATAAATAAATAAAGTTTCGTGCATTAACCCGTAAAAACTGGTTCTAACCAAATTCATAAAGCTAAATTAAATGCCTTTTTTTAATAAAGTTTTCTTATCGCCTTGTTAATAATTTTTTAACGCTTCTTTACCTGATTTATGAGTGAGAATTTCATTAATCGTCTTTGATCATCCCCTTGAAGCATAGACAACAGGAGAGGAGTAGCCATAGAGACACAAGACTACTTAAATCATTATGCTACATTTGCGCGGGGGGAGGGATATGCACACAAATGCAGTCCACAAAAAATGGGTGCGTGTACGTATGTAGGCGCGTGAGAAGTTATCCTTCTTTGGCATCGTTTAAAATTAGTTTTTAATTGCATGCAAATAATTAATTACAATAAATTAATAAAAAGTCTGGAAAAGGACACAGTCAATAAAGTTCAGTTTTAATTTGAAAAAATAAATAAATAATCAAAATATTCAATTAAAATCGCTACTGAATATAATTTATTAGAACATATGTGATTTGCACTTGTATGAAACTCAAACACGTATTCCGAATATACAAACTAGAAACATGTGGATAAATATTATAAATATGAATACCTATAACTGTTACTTTATTACAAAAAATAAAGATGTGGTTTTTGATTCTACTACACCAATGGTCAAGAGATGGCGCTGTAGTTTATTGAATCGCGCTTTGGTTCCGTTATTCCAGATTAATAAATACTTTTGATATTATAAATATGAATACCTATAACTGTTACTTTATTACAAAAAATAAAGATGTGGTTTTTGGTTCTACTACACCAATGGTCAAGAGATGGCGCTGTAGTCTCCTGAATCGCGCTTTGGTTCCGTTGTTCCAGATTAATAAATACTTTTGATAGGCCTTCACAATGCAGTCGTTAGCACCTACTAAATAGAGATTCTATTTCTATTTTGTTGGTAGATTTTCTTAATGTGCGGTAAACACAAAAGTAACAGCATGAAGTTGGTCGCTAAAGCGACCAACTTCATGCTATTAATTTTTTGTGTTACAGTGATGCGCGCGCATCTTAAAATTTCACTCTCATCATTTTTTCATAACGCGCCTAAAGAAGTATAACTTCAAAAATTTAATTGTAATTACGATACGCATAAAAAAATACATCACTAATTCGTGCATAGATGAAACTTAAGTCGTGACTAGAGATGGAAAAAACGGCTTATTTCTTAAAAGCGTTTAAACGTTGTACTTTTTAAAATAAGCGCGCTTGAAAAAAAGCTTTTTCGTTTAAACGCTTATTGGCTTAAACAAAAAAGTAACAGCATGAAGTAACAGCATGAAGCATAAGCGACCAACTAAAGCGACCAACTTCATGCTATTAATTTTTTGTGTTACAGTGATGCGCGCGCATCTTAAAATTTCACTCTCATCATTTTTTCATAACGCGCCTAAAGAAGTATAACTTCAAAAATTTAATTGTAATTACGATACGCATAAAAAAATACATCACTAATTCGTGCATAGATGAAACTTAAGTCGTGACTAGAGATGGAAAAAACGGCTTATTTCTTAAAAGCGTTTAAACGTTGTACTTTTTAAAATAAGCGCGCTTGAAAAAAAGCTTTTTCGTTTAAACGCTTATTGGCTTAAACGTTTAAAAGCATGCGTAAAAAGCGCGACGTTGTGTTGTGTTTTCGTTTAGGTATATCGTTTAAAAAACCGTGAAAAGTTTATTGTCGTTTTTAATGTGTTTAAGTGTTTTATTGCGTTTTTTCTTCTTATTAATGACATTTTTATTAAAAAGTTTTTTTAAACCTAATGAATTGATTAAAAACGAAAGATTTTCAATTGAATTTAGATTTTATAATATACATTTTTATAATAGTCAATGAACTTTCCTTCGTACTTTACAAGCTTAGGACTGTCTGGAGTTAATATACTCGTGATCCAGGCGTACTTAAAAGTTCATTGATTTTATATACATACTTTTTACTATTTTATATGCACATTAAACCAATACACGAAACGCATTAACACAAGCAAGCATGCAAACACACCGTACAACACCCAAGCGCTCTTACCCCGTCACAGTGACAAGCGTACTGCTTTTCGACTTCGTTTAATTAAACGCTTTTAACAAAAAAGCGTTGGTTATCCGACCAAATTTTAAAAAAGTGCATTATAATAATTCGCATGCTGTATTAACCGGCTCACGAAAGATGGAACGCCGACGCGGCGCTGTAGTCGCGCGTTCTATGTCTGTGATATTGTGAAATATTTAGTTCCAAGGAATTCCGCGTACCCATTTTTCGATACTGTAGTGGACTAGAAGGATCGAAGTATGTAGTTTCCTGGCAAAAATATAGATGGCGGGATTTGCACTTTTTAAGTAAAAAATATACTTGCACTTTTTTAAGTGAAAAGCTTACTCACACTTTTTAAGTGAAAAGCTTATAACGCTTATACTTAAAAGCGTGCTTACAAGCTTAATATTTTAAGCGCGCTTATTTAAGCGCTTTTCGTTTAAACGCCCACCGCTAGTCGTGACGCATCGACAATCTATAGGTACAGAGTTCAACACACCAGTTATTTCGGCGTCGGATGCCGGAATTGTTGCGACGACCTAGGTTAGAGCTAAGTCGCAATGTTTTCTAATGGAATGAAGGAGACACAATGCTTTATAAATGAAATGAAGCGCTAAACGATCCCTATCAGAAAACGGCGTCTGCGCCGCAGAGTCAACATTAGCAAGAGACACTATAAATTCGGTTATATCTACGAAAATACAGTTTGTCTATAAAGTCGTGACATGAATGTTTGAGGAACTAACAGTAACATTATTCCTGTGTCTGACAACACCAAACTTATGTACATCAGCTATCATGTCATCGAGTTTCAGTTGTGGAACAGTTTTCCTTTTGTATTTTTTATTGTTTGGATTAAACTGTAATAAATTAAGACAAAACTACGCAGAAAGGTATAAAAATGAGTAAAGTAAATCGGAGTGGCACGCGGGAAGTGATTTTTTAAAGTTTTCCAGCGATGTTTCCAAGACTACCAAGCTGGACGAATTTTGTGGGATTTGGATGATGTTTATGGGCGAACAGCATCTATGACGGGTATGTAATCGTGTAACTATTTGTTTGTAATCTGCCTGAAGTTACAAATTTACTCAATTTACGATTTTGAGACAAAAATAGCCATTGTTTACATTGCACATTTTTAGGTTATATTGACATTGTAAATAGGTAATGTTGGTTGCTTTCCAATTACAGCATTATAGCGCATAATGCGGCATAATGCTTAACGTTGAGTGTTCCAACTACAGCAACGCTTCGCACAATTGAGCACTAGGGTTGCAACGATATATCGGAATTTCGATAACATCGATAATATCGAGACCAAAATAACGATATTTATATCGATATTTAAAATTCACTGATATCGATAATATCGATATCGGTAATTCCAAAATATCGATATTTCGTAGACTAAATTTTAACACAATAATGGTGTCAATTCTGGCGTGATTCTCTAAACTTAAAACTAAATTTAACATCAGTCTCTCCTTTTCATTCTGTATAGAGAATGACAGGGATGCACTGTTGTCAAATTTAAGTTTAGCTTTAGAGAATTATGCCAGAATCGACATCAGTATCAATTAATTTACCTGCTATGACTATCTAAATTGAATAATATCGAAATAACTATTTCTTTGAAATCGCAAGAGCTTATAGATGTATTAAAAAAATCTTGAACCCCAAGAAATATACTAAACTTGTGTGGATTCTGGCATGATCCTCTAAACCTAAAATTAAATTTGACAACAGTGTATCCTTGTCATTCTCTATACAGAATGAAAAGGAGAGACTGATGTTAAATTTAGTTTTAAGTTTAGATAATCATGCCAGAATGGACACCAACGTATATAGGTATAATCGTAAACCTAATGGTAACTCATGCACTTAAATAAAATCCTTGCCTCTCTTTCTAGATATTTGTCAACTACTGATTAATTAAAATTTAATATCATTGTAATATAACACAAAATAAAATTAAGAATCTTATTCAAATCGTAAATTTTTTAAGCTCGCCAAGTCAAGAAAGTAAGATAGGTAGAGATGGAAAAAACGGCTTATTTCTTAAAAGCGTTTAAACGTTGTACTTTTTAAAATAAGCGCGCTTGAAAAAAAGCTTTTTCGTTTAAACGCTTATTGGCTTAAACGTTTAAAAGCATGCGTAAAAAGCGCGACGTTGTGTTGTGTTTTCGTTTAGGTATATCGTTTAAAAAACCGTGAAAAGTTTATTGTCGTTTTTAATGTGTTTAAGTGTTTTATTGCGTTTTTTCTTCTTATTAATGACATTTTTATTAAAAAGTTTTTTTAAACCTAATGAATTGATTAAAAACGAAAGATTTTCAATTGAATTTAGATTTTATAATATACATTTTTATAATAGTCAATGAACTTTCCTTCGTACTTTACAAGCTTAGGACTGTCTGGAGTTAATATACTCGTGATCCAGGCGTACTTAAAAGTTCATTGATTTTATATACATACTTTTTACTATTTTATATGCACATTAAACCAATACACGAAACGCATTAACACAAGCAAGCATGCAAACACACCGTACAACACCCAAGCGCTCTTACCCCGTCACAGTGACAAGCGTACTGCTTTTCGACTTCGTTTAATTAAACGCTTTTAACAAAAAAGCGTTGTTTATCCGACCAAATTTTAAAAAAGTGCATTATAATAATTCGCATGCTGTATTAACCGGCTCACGAAAGATGGCATGCCGACGCGGCGCTGTAGTCGCGCGTTCTATGTCTGTGATATTGTGAAATATTTAGTTCCAAGGAATTCCGCGTACCCATTTTTCGATACTGTAGTGGACTAGAAGGATCGAAGTATGTAGTTTCCTGGCAAAAATATAGATGGCGGGATTTGCACTTTTTAAGTAAAAAATATACTTGCACTTTTTTAAGTGAAAAGCTTACTCACACTTTTTAAGTGAAAAGCTTATAACGCTTATACTTAAAAGCGTGCTTACAAGCTTAATATTTTAAGCGCGCTTATTTAAGCGCTTTTCGTTTAAACGCCCACCGCTAAAGATAGGTATAGTAATTTTGGAAGCTTTGGGCTTACCCTATTCTGAAGCCATGGGCACGCCCCTGATGTGTAGGAGACTAAGCAATTTGCGTATTTGATGTGCGCTAAAAAAACCGACATAGCTTGGAAAAGCACGAATGTAGTGAAAACTTAGCGAAGGCATTCGCAAATGTCGTCCCACATATGCGGGTTGGCGCATTCGTAACGCTAACGAATGTGAGTGATCTGATCATCATAATAATTTTAATTTTTTGGTTTCCTGTCGTGGCTGAAACACAAACCGTGCGAGCCAATAAAAAAAATCCTGCTTCATCAAGCTTGTTTAACGAAAAAGCTGCCTCAATGCATTTTGCGAGAAACTCGCCAACAAACATATGAATGTGTCACACTCACCCCGTATTCTAATGTCAATAAGAATTAAAAAGGAAAAATATCGATATATCGATAATATCGAGTTAAAATGGTCGATATATCGGATATCGATATTTCCTGACTTCGATATAAATATCGATATTTCAAAAGACTTTGCATCCCTATTGAGCACTCTCAAAAGTGATGCTTTCGTGTGATGCGTGCATTTGTACCAACTTAGAGACAGAAAATTAACAAGTGTTTTTTCTTTAAGTTGGCATTGATCGAAATGTTTTATTTATATGTTATCGTTAGTAATATTATTTATTGTTGAAAAAATATTAAAGCTTTCGTTTCATTAAATTGTTTTTTTTTTAAATAATCAAAGTTCATTCAAACTGTTAAAAAATAAATATAAGTATGGATGAAGGTACAAACATTGTCTTTTTTTTTCAACACTGAACTTAGCGCACTCTGCTGGTGCATTTGAAAACTAATTCAAGTTCCAATTAAGCATCAGCATAATTCAGCATTGTGCGGCACTGAGTCGCATTATGCTCTGTAATTGGAAAGCAACCATTGTAGTACGACCATTTCTTTTGATACGTTATTATGGTTCAACTCGGTCAGGTTTTCTACCAATTTTGAATTAATTGCTTCATGTCAATAAGATATTGTTTCTATTCCGTTACATATTTTTGAAGTTATACTTCTTTAGGCTCGTTATGAAAAAATGATGAGAGTGAAATTTTTAGATGCGCGCGCATCACTGTAACCCAAAAGTAACAGCATGAAGTTGGCCGCGGGCGCGTTATGAAAAACCATGTGAGTGAAATTTCGAGATGCGCGCGCATCACTGTAACACAATAGTAACACCATGAAGTTGGCCGCGGGCGCGTTATGAATGTTAGTGTCTAATAATGGTGGATTATTAACCACTTAGTGGTTAATAATCCACCATTAACCACTTAGTGGTTTTATAATATAACCACTTAGTGGTTAATAATCCACCATTATTAGACATCTGTTCGAAAGGTACTTTGAACGATCCACGGGGCTCCATAAGATGATCGCGTTGTCAAAAACAATGTTGGCACGCTCGTCGCCTCTGATCACTGTTTTCATATTTATAATATTTATCCACATGTTTCTAGTTTCTATATAGACACAACGTGTTTTAGTTACTTACAAGTGCTTATTACATATGGACTAATAACTTAAATTCAGTAGTGATTTTAATTTAATATTTTGAATATTTATTTAATTTTTCAAATTAAAACTGAACTTAATTGACTGTGTTAACTATCCTTTTCCAGTCCTTTTATTATTTTATTGTAATTATTAATTATTTGCATGCAATTAAAAAATATTTTTAATGATGCTAAAGAAGTATAACTTCTCACGCGCTTACATAAGTTACACGCATCCATTTTTTTACTTTTTTTCAGGAAAATCAGAGAGTCGGATAGTCAACGAAGGTTTTAAGAATGATGGAAAGTTTGAAACTCCAGGGAAAACAGGCAAGGCCGACCAAAGAAAGAAATGGTCACATAAAGAACCATGGCCAGATGCTTTTAGTGAAGATACCTATCACTAATTTTACTAACTGCACATTTACAAATTGTTTCTTTAAATAAACTTTTTATATACTATAAAATGATTTTTAGTATTATTTTCTTAACAAGTGTGTAAAAAAAGTCGTATGATGATACTTGTGTGTATTGATGATTACCTAACGGCTCTAGTCTCAATGGCACCTCAGCGGTAATCACCATCATTACACACTTTTACACTATAAAGTACTATTTTATCTATAATAATTTTATTCTGATTCAATTAAATATGCTTGGCTAAACTTTTTATAAGCATAGGTACCTACTATATATAAAACAGAAACAAAATACGACGGTATAGTGTGTCGTATTAATTACCTATTTTACTTAAATGAACTGCTAGTATCAAAATCATTTTGGTCCGACTGTATAGGGTTGCTACATGCATACTAGTGGCGCCATCATTTAATGTCACGACTTTATAGACAAACTGTACCCTGGAACCTTATAAACATCTTTTTTTTTCTTTTTCCTCATTCTCCGAACCCGAAGGAGCACATAGAAGATATTTTTTTACCTCCTATGGGGTCGGGTTTACGGCGCTTTTACGCCTTACCCATCTTATAAACATGTATCTACAATAAAAACTGAGTATTAATGTACAAAAGTAAAAACTATTTAACAAATTATATTGACTAGAAAAGTATTATTTTAAATAAATATTTTCTTTCTATTTATAAAAAGGACGCCTTTCTCTTTCGAGTTTCCCGCGCGAAAATACCGGCCATTTTCTTCTTCTTCTTCTTTTTTGTGGTTAAAAAAACATCAACACATCAAATATTAGGAAAAACAAGAATACTAACAAAAAGGATTCAAAAACCTTTGTAAATAAATAAAAAAAGACCAGGCTGTATGAGCATTGTTCCTCTTGCCTTCCCAGAAAAGGGAGACCTTAAAAAAAGAAAATGCCCGATTTAATGTAAAATTACAACGACAAGGCTGTATGGCACCGCCTTTGCTTATCTAAAAGGGTGAACACAAATTAAAAAAATGGCAGACCATAATCTGTGAAATATTTATTTACAGTTTACATTGAACGGACTCAGTTAAAATAAGTAAACAACATGAAAGAAATCGATATAAATATAGAGGGCTTCAATGAGAATGGAATATGTGTCGGTTGTTTGAATTACAACCGTAAAATGGTTTATCATAAAGACATCAAAGAGTGTTTCATTATATTGGCTGATATTTATGTAAATACCATTTATTAACTTCTTTTACCTTAGTAATGAATAAAATTTAATAATACTTGACCTTTAATTTGTGTCCTTTGTGTGTTTTTAATAATAATATAAATCCGAATATAAACGAGAACAAGAAAGATCGGATAAACTTGTTATGGGACTAGTTTTTTTTTAAATTTTATATGTTTTTATTTTAGCAAGTTGTAAACTGCTTTAGTTTTGCTCAAATCTTTGAACCAAATTATACATGCCAGAGATATTGTGATCCGTGATGTGCTTTTATTCTTAAGTTGTATTCATATTCTAAACTTTTTTGTGTGCAGAATTCTTAAATGCATGTTTAAAAAATCAAAACAGTGTTGATATTGTTATTTATTCTATAGTTTGAATTTCTAATAAAAACAATGTTTGGTTTTTTTACACTGTTCATTGATAATAATTATTAATTATCTAAACTTTTGCCATGAACCATTTGGACTGTCTTTAATATTTTAGATAACACATTTTTCTATCTAACTGAGTTTTAAAACGTTCCACACGATTAGCAGATTTTGGTACAACAGTGATGTGTTTTTTTGTCACCTGCTTGAGCTGATATGGAAATGTAATCAACTGGCCACAATGATCACTATCTAATAAGGAATTTTAAAAGGTACAACAATTTTCAAATTTTATTTATTTTTTGTATTCATATGCTTTTTCAGATTCCTGACGGTCTGCAATTGCAGGTGTGCTGGGAATGCCTAGTACACATCAAGAGAACATGTCAGTTCCGAAAACAGATCATAAAGTCTTACGAAATACTCAATAATTATTCTAAACAGGTAATTGGGAGTAATAACAATGTTTTTTAAGGTTCCTTAATTAAAGTTTGTCAACTATGTATTACTAAGTATTTGCTCTCCATCATACTCTCATCGTGCTCTGCGTAGATTGTATCTCATGAACAGGTATAAAGCAGTTGGAATAATTAGAAAATTTTAAATATATTCATTCTTGCTGCTATAAATAAAAAGTCCTAAAAAAATAAAATGAAAAGCAACCAAACTCTCTGGACTTTACATTAAAATTGTTGTATTTCAAATGTTACCTGATACAATGCTACAGACCTTCATGAGTTTGAAAAGCACTTAAATTTTAAATTTCAAACATTAAAAGGTCTTTAATAATCAAATTATTAATTAACATATCTAATTGATATTTGTAGTACAAAAAAAAATTGAGCACATTTTCAGTCACTTCAGATATTATAGCAAAATATTGTTTTTAAACTTTCACGGTCACTAACAGTATAGTAATATAAGTTATTTACGGGATTATTACCATGTACCTTGTTTTTAGCGAGTTTCCAATATTCGGGCACTGTTGCAAGCGCTGAAAAGGTACATGGTAACAATCCCATAAATATCTTATATTAATGTAATTATAGCATAAGTTTCTAAACCAACTTAACTGCAAATTTGGTATTCATTAAAACAAATGTACCTGCTAATCGTTTACATATCATTTATAACAATAATCTACATGTTTAATTAACCTTTCCAACAGCATAGTTTTCTGCATTCTCCATCAGACTTTACAAAGTATTCAACTACTCGTCTCTGTACAGCAAGTGTAGCAGTTGAAAGTATTATGCCACCATCGACATTATCAATGGAGATTGAAGACAATGTGGACAAGTTGCAAATCAAATGTGAATCAGGAGATCTAAGAAGTAAGTGTGATCCTGAACTTAAGTGTCATCCATAAAGTTTGTCACACAAATTTTTCACAGTTAGTCACATTCAAATTTTTTAAGTCACCTAGTGTGACGTCACGTTCTTTGCAATTTTCACCTAAAAATTGTTAACAGTTCCAAATTAGTTCCGAAAATAAGCTAAGGAAACAAATTAAAACTTACATATACTGAAATGTTCGAAAATAAAAGATTTTGAAATGTGACATCACGAAACATAGGTTGCCTATGTTTATGTGTTGTCACATTTCTGTAAACCCCTTTTCATACATGTCACCCTCTCCCTCCCCCTTAACGTGTGACGTAATCTATGGATGGGCCCTTGGTTTAAAATAGTGTTTTATTTCATACAATAATAATAATAATCCGCATTTTCTAAATTAGATAAATTGAAATTTTGCGAAAATGCCAGTGACTGTATTTTCTCAAAATTTCTATTTATCAAATCCTATGACATAAATTATTTTATGACATTCACCAGCTGTCCCTTTGTTTTGTATACTTTACTGATTATATTTATTGTTTCAGAGCCTATAAAAGAAGAAGTGGAATCTTACAATGAATATGAAGATATTCCAATAGAGTATGAACATTATGATGTCCAATCACAACATGATAAAGACGAGTTGTCATCTGAAGATGATGTACAACTATCTGAGTTGAAGCACAAGAAGCAGAGAAAGGAGAGAAGTAAAATCAAGAAGCATGGCAGAAGCAGCAGCGATATGGTAAGAAAGTACTACTTTTTATACTAATAAGTTGGTTTGAAAGAGATAATAGTTATTTATGATATTACGGCATTAGTTGCTCAAAAAATGCATTTACGGAGGTTGAATACAGTGATCAAAAGTTAAAAATTACGGTTCATCTAACGGAGCGTGCGGTAAAACATTTAACTGCACGCTCCCTTAAATGGCGCCATGCGTATTCTTTACTTTTTTTTTATTTCGGTCGAACCTCCTTGGATACACCTTTAATCTGCCCTCCTGTCTCGCATTAATACAAAAAAGAGACTAAATATGTAGTTCTCATTTTCATCACCCGCACGTGACGCCATTTGGAGAAGCGCGCTATTTTATTATTAAAATATTATTATTTATTATTTTCTTATGCAAAAATTAAGGTAATGAAACCTTAATTAGGTATTTTTTTCTCGAAAATGTGTTGAAAAACGTTGTATAACATTTATGTGGAATTGGTATTTACAAATAACCAACTTACCGCACTAATATCATAAATAACTATTCCAACAACTTTTTCAAATTAAAGTGAAATTTCCATTACCTTGCCACAAATTTATCTTTTGTCTTTAAAGCATGTTGTATTACATTGTTTTGAATATAGAATTAACCTATTTGTTTTTCTGTACTCGAGATGGCATCTAGTAGTGAAAGTGGAGATAGTGAAGATGTATTGACACCGCCAGAGTTAAAAGAAACCGCCCAAGAGGTTATTGAGACCTTATTACCCGAGAAATCCAGCAAAAAATACAACAAGGCATATGAAGAGTTCATACAGTGGAAAACCAAGAAGAATGCCCCTCGTTTTACTGAAAATGTTCTATTGACATATTTTAGTGAAAAAGCGCAAACATTAAAACCGAGCTCCGTGTGGGCCTATTATTCCATGTTGAAAACTACAATATTGGCAAAGAACAACATTAATATTGTAAAATACAGAAAACTCACAGCGTTTCTGAGAAGAAATGCTAAGGGGTTCCGTAGTAAGAAATCGAAAGTTCTCACTACAGAGGATGTTTATACCTTTCTGGAAAAGGCTCCGGATGACATATATTTATTGTCGAAGGTAAGGTTTATGATCAATACTAATTTTTATTTAATTTTATACCTTAGTTAAACGGTTTCAAATTCCCCCAAATCCACACATCACTTTTAATGAGCTGTCATGTTCAGCAGCCATCATGGAGATTCGTCATCATCGATTAATGCTTTAGTAACGAAAGCATTAGCCCGCCTGTCCCTGAAAATTTGTATAGTTTATAGTTCATTTTCAGCCACCAGCCGCACTGCCGTCGGTAAGTAGTATCTGTGAAGTTAGCTGTTTATGAGTACAAGTAGATGAAGTTAGTTGAACAATGTACAAATTTCAAATTAACGCACAACAGCCCGCTTTTATTGAGACAACTTAGCGATCGCAGCGCCTCGCTTATTTTGTCCATATTTCTGGGACACTATTTTCTACAGCGTTCGTTACTAGGACCCTAACGACTGTCAACATGTCAATTAGTCACGGGACGATTGTCAGGAGATAATTATTAAAGTACGTCAAAATGATGTGAATGCCTTTATTGCACTGTCATATAATGTAAAATATTGTTCTTAAACCAATTAGTGGGTCAACTGTGTCAGCAGTTTAGAGTGCATCGACTCGGAATGCAAACTTAATAAAATATAATTAAAATGGCTTGTACAGCAGCCATCTTCTTTATGTTGTCAGCTGCTTGTCAACATTTAATTTCAAAAATAGCCAGTTCCTGATATGTTTCGTTCAATCAAAATCATCATTACTAACAATCAAATTTATCCAAATACAGTCTGTATTTAATTTTATTTTTCAAAAAAAAACAGAAAAAAACGAATTCGGTCAGATTCAAAATTAAAATGCGAATTTTAGCCATTATTTAAATTCGGTTTATTTTCAATTAAACACTCTGAAAGGCCTGTTTAAATCTCCCACCGAAATTTAACATAACCGGTGCTGCCATAGTTTAGATACAGAAATCATATCCTTCCGAGAAAGATTTAAAAATGGATTTGGCTAACTTTGAAACACGCTTGAATTGGGGGGTTAGCTGGCGAATGCGCTACGCGTTACGAAAAGTGTGTTCGGGCGAGGCGAACGGGAGTTGAGTGGGGGATATAAGCAAGAGAAAGCAGTGCGCGCGCATATTTTCCTTCTCTCTTTCTCTTATAGCTAGTAAATGAAATATGTATATGTACATACATGTACATATTGTACTCATATATACAGGGCGTCCCACGGCTACCTCACACGGAGCGAAAGTATATTAAATATTAAAGATAGGATATTTTACTGAAAGAAGACATCATTTCATTTTTGATAATAACTAGAACTGCATTCACAGATTTTTTAAAATCGACTGCTACAACTAGGAATCAAACTGGAGAAATTTAAATTACCCGTGGGACGCCCTGTATATACAGGATGTAACAAAAATACAAATAAAGCTTGAAGGGCGTTGAAGTACATCATATTAGGAGTCTTCTCTAATTTTCTTAAAATATTTGCATGACGTTTTTACTTTTTTTATAAAAACAGTTATTTTTAATGATTAATAAAAATATCGATACTTTTAAGACACGTCACTAGTTCGAGGATCATTAAAAATAACTGTTTTTATAAAAAGTTAAAACTTCATGCAAATATTTTAAGAAATAGAGAAGACTCCTTATATGATGTACTTCAACGCCCTTCATGCTTAATTTGTATTTTTGTAACACTTTGTACATATTATATGAGTACAAAATGACCATAGAAGTTTCACTTCAGTCATAAGCACACTCGTTTTTCTTTACTTTTAGAAATCTTCCAGGTTTTCAATTTTGACCTTTGTTACAGGTTATTTTGATCTTGTGTGTGAACGGTGCCTGCCGATCCCACGAACTCCTAAAATTAACAATAGATGACATTGAGTTACACGAGAACGTGATAATAGTTAAACTTCCCAACACAAAGACCAAAATCCAGCGGTCATTCGTCATAACGGACGTGTTCTATGAGATCGTGAAGAAATATATTGATCTTCGGCCTAAAAAGTTGCCGACCAACCGCTTCTTATTGCAGTATAAAGACAATAGGTGTTTAACACACGGCATTGGGAAGAATAAAATGAAGACGGTGCCAAAGGCAATAGCTTCCTATCTGAAATTGCCCGATCCGCAAGAATACACTGGACACTGCTTTCGAAGGATATTAGCGACTGTTCTTGCTGACTCCGGTGGTGCAAATTTGACAGCATTAAAACGACATGATGGTTGTCAATCTTTGGGTGTTGCAGATGGCTTCATTAGAATTCAGCCGAAATTAAAACAGAAATAAAGAAATGAAATAGCAGTATCTATGTATTTGCATCAAGATTTGTTTTATTTATACCAATCACTACAGCAACTGTTGCCCCTTTGACACCTAAACCTTGTTCGAGCACTTAAGTTAAAAATGGAGCAAATAAATAGAGAGAGAGAGAGAGAGAGAGATTTCTTACACGAGTATACACCAACAATGAAAGAACACTTGGAAAAAAATTTACCGTCACATTTTATTCGGTTACGCGTCACGTTTTTTGGTTACGCGCCATCTTTTTTTTAAAAGCACTATTTACCTCATCCGAACAATTGCTTCTTCTGTCAACTTAAAAAAAAAAAGTATCGACAGCAAATATTCGTGTTTCACACAAGGTAAGGTGTAGTTATACCCCTTTAGTGGGTGAGTTTTTGAAAAATCTTAGCGCACGCCTATATATATATATTTCTGGAAAGTTGCATGTAGATCATTTTTCGAAAAAAATAAGGCCATAAAGAAGTTTCACTTCTTACGTGTGTACACTAGTACACGCACACATTTTTATTAATTTTCGTTTCTCCTGGCCTGGCTTAGGTAGCCGACTCCGAACAATAAGGGGAAAAAGCTAAGCAGATGATAATGACTTTTATTATTTTCGAACACGTGCGTGATGGAAGCGAGTAGTACTTTACGGGTATTCAGAATCGTCAGTCTGGCAACACTATTTTTGTAATTAAATTTATATTTTTTAATTTTTTTTTGTCATCATTTGATTATCAACAATAAAACTCGTTTAGTCATACGTTATTTTATAATTTGGCTGACTTAATTTAACGGTTTTTTACTGCGAAATAAAATAGGCCTCGCGAACTTGATGTCGCCGACGTCCACATGTGGTCTAGCGCCGCCACCACAGAACACAGAAAGATGTTAGAAGGGCCTTGTGGGCGGGGCAGGCGCGCCACAGTTAGTTGTGAGCAAATGCTCATAACTTGACCAAAACTTGGCAACGATTGCTTTGTTGCGATGGGGTGTGAACAATTGCTTCTTCTGTCAACTTTAAAAAAAAAGTATCGACAGCAAATATTCGTGTTTCACACAAGGTAAGGTGTAGTTATACCCCTTTAGTGGGTGAGTTTTTGAAAAATCTTAGCGCACGCCTATATATATATATTTCTGGAAAGTTGCATGTAGAATCTCAGATTACGTTGTGTCGATATTAACTTGAAGTTTAAAAAAAAGAAAAGAACGAGCGCTGCTCAATGTTGTGTAGATGGCCAGATGGCGCTGATTAATATTCTAAATTGCAATATGATTTACATTAAACTTGAGTATATTTCTTTATGAATAAGTAATTTAATAGAAAATGTTTTTTTTTCTAGTTATATTTTCTTTAGATTTAAACATCAAGCAGTTACACGCTTTAAAAAAAAGAAAAATTATAAAAAATGTATACATACATTTTAGACTTTCCTCTGCGAGCTTTGCATTAATTCTGTTAAAAATATTTTAAAGGATTAAAACAACAGATAATTCTGATCATTCTACATCGCGATATAGTTTTGATTCAAAATCTTATGCATGCAGTGGCGGACTAAGCTCATCAGAGGTCACGCAGGTGTGGGATAAGCATTAGAGTAAGAATTTAGAAGATTTTTCCTTGCAATCTTAGAGCATCTATAAAATAGATGTAAATGTTCCAAACTTGCACAAAATGAGTAAATATAATTAGTAACTAAATAAAAGACTATGCATGCATGCAGTGGTGGACTAACAGGGGGGCGGAAGGGGCGGCCCGCCCCGGGCCTCCGATCTTGGGGGCCCCCAAATGCCCCCGTTCTCCTGATCAAATCCTAAACTAGACTTTAAAAATGTGCTTAGTACCTACATAATTTCATCAAGATCTAAACACTTCAGCCATCTAGACTTTTTACGCGGTACTAATTTTCTTTTAACTTCGCTGAACGCGTCCAATACGCTGAGGGAATTCCCGACTCTGCAGCGGATACTTCCTTAGGTATCCCTGAATGAATGAAGTACAAATAATTTACGTCGAAAAATAAACATTGGCCTCATTTAAAATCCGTTCAAAGTAACCTCATTAAAAAGTGGAACTTATAGTATTTTTGATTTTTGTTACGGTATAAAAGTAAATGACTTTAGAGTTGAGTTAGTGCATTTTTAAGTAATTGGAAAATGTAAGTAATTCTTCGGATAATTTTGCACCTACGTTTCTAGTCAGTATGTACCATATTGCAGGTATGTATGTTTATTTAGCCGAAATAACTTAATTGGAATTTAAATTGCACTTGCCAGATTTTAACATAACAAAGAAACTACATTTTTTTTAAAGCTGGGGGGCCTCATTCAGCTTTGCCGCCCCGCCCCGGGCCTCTGATGAGCTTAGTCCGCCACTGCATGCATAAGATTTTGAATCAAAACTATATCGCGATGTAGAATGATCAGAATTATCTGTTGTTTTAATCCTTTAAAATATTTTTAACAGAATTAATGCAAAGCTCGCAGAGGAAAGTCTAAAATGTATGTATACATTTTTTATAATTTTTCTTTTTTTTAAAGCGTGTAACTGCTTGATATTTAAATCGAAAGAAAATATAACTAGAAAAAAAAAACATTTTCTATTAAATTACTTATTCATAAAGAAATATACTCAAGTTTAATGTAAATCATATTGCAATTTAGAATATTAATCAGCGCCATCTGGCCATCTACACAACATTGAGTAGCGCTCGTTCTTTTCTTTTTTTTAAACTTCAAGTTAATATCGACACAACGTAATCTGAGATTAGTGTCGATTCTGGCGTGATTCTCTAAACTTAAAACTAAATTTAACATCAATCTCTCCTTTTCATTCCGTATACAGAATGACAAGGACACACTGTTGTTAAGTTTAGGTTTAGAGAATCTTGTCAGAATTGACAAATGACACAATTGATATTTTTAAATAAAATGTTAAATTAAATTTCTTTTCTTTCATTTAAAATGCTATGTTATTTAGCAAAAAATAATCCATATGATTAACCCTTTCCATGGTTATCATAAAATTAGTTGTTTTTATTTTTTCGAAATTTCATGAGTTTGATTCCCAGTTGTAGCAGGCGATATTTTAAAAATCTGTGAATGCAGTTCTAGTTATTATTAAAAATAAAATGATGTCTTCTTTCAGTAAAATATCCTATCTTCAATATTTAATATACTTTTCCTCCATGTGAGGTAGCCGTGGGTCGCTCTGTATAATTTTGACCAAAGGGAGGGTTATATTAAGGGGTTTGCCAACCCTACGATAGTATCCTACTTGTACATTAGGGGATCAAACACTATATTTCTAAAATAATATATAGAAGGCGAAACTGCTATCTTTTGCTTGAAGCAGACTTTTGCCAGTAAAAGCTTTCTTAAAAATAAAAACTGAATTATGAAATTTTATTATACCTTTTTTTTTTGACGATGAGAAATTCATTGACGGACCGTACCGTGCGCTGGCGAGGCGCACGGCGTGTGTGGGACTCACCCGGCACGGGACACAGCGCCGGTCCTACCCACTAAAACTCACACAACTCATTTCAAAAATAAAGTATATATTTTAACCACATAGTGGTGTCGATTCTAGCATGATTTTCTAAACCTAAACTTAAATTTGGCAGCAGTATATCCTTGTCATTCTCTATACAGAATGAAAAAGAGAGACTGATGTTAAATTTAGTTTTAAGTTTAGAGAATCACGCCAGAATTGGCACCAGTGGTGTCGATTCTGACACGATTCCCTAAACTTAAAATTGACAACAGTGGTACCAATTCTGGACTGATTCTCTAAACTTAAAACCAAATTTAACATCAGTCTCTCCTTTTCATTCTGTATAGAGAATGACAAGGATATACTGCTGTCAAATTTAAGTTTAGGTTAGGAAGAGAATCATGCTAGAATCGACACCAGTATATCCTTGTCATTCTCTATACAGAATAAAAAGGAGAGACTGATTTTAAATTGAGTTTTAAGTTCTGTGTCGCTGGCTCTATTGAATGATATACAGACGTATGCGTGTGTGAGAGTTGCTTATGTAGTGGAGTCGGATCCTATTTTATTTGATGCTAGTGTTAACGTACCGTATCTTCCTTTTGGTTTTAATATAAGCTAACTTGCTAATAAACGCTAAGTCGTTTGATTGACAACATAGTCCACTTTCGACAACTTTGGTTTTTGTTTACCAGTCTCGAAATCAAGACCTTGTAGCTCAAATGTAATTAACACACTGGCCTTAGAGTGGAAATGCAAGGAATTAAAAATGATTTAAGTTTTTGTTGATTTTTAACCTCAAAATATAAAACATGAATAACAGTAAAAGTTAGAATTTGCTTTGGAGGGAAGAGGAGTTAGGGGCAGTTTCTCACTCCCTTCCTGATTCCTGAAAATAGTGTAGCACCAAAAAAGCTTGACATCTGTACAGTCTACTTTAAAATACATTTAAAAATAAAAATGTGGCTGTATCGCTTCTGTTTTCTTTGCCTTCACCAGTCTCTCTAATTATTCCAACCTTTTTCATAAGTGCTTCTCTTTAAAAATAATACTAGGCTGCATGTCCTTAGTAACGGTTGCTTTATGAAAGATAAATTAAAAAAATATATTAAAAAGTAAAAAAGGACTGTCAATGAAATGGCCGAGGAAAATCTGTGAAGCTTCTAAATGCAAAAATATTTAAAGTATAAATTGAATTGAACTAAATATAGTGTACAACATGAAAGAAATCGATATAAATATAGAGGGCTACAATGTGAATGGAATATGTGTCGGTTGTTTGAACTACAACCGTAAAATGGTTTATCACAAAGACATCAAAGAGTGTTTCAATAAATTGGCTGATATTGATGTAAATACTATTTATTATGTTATTTTACCTTAGTAATGAATAAAATTAAAAGTCATAATAAATACTTGACCTTTAATTTGTATTTTTTTGTGTTTTTAGTAATAATAAAACAGAAATCCTAATTTAAACATGAACAAGAAAGATTGGATACGCCATTGTTTTGCGACTAGTTTTTTTTTTAATTTTATATCAACTGCTGTAGGTTTGCCTATATCCTTGTTTAAATTACATTTTATATATATATTTTGATTCGCCATGTGCTTAAAATTCTTTAGTTGTGTTCATATTCTCTATTTTTCCCTCTTCTGTGTGCAAAATTAATGTTACAGTAAATGAAACTTTAAAAAGCATAAAATGTTTCAAAATGTTAAGAAAACTTTAAATCTCTAAAAATACAATTTATAATAATTATATATAACAACATTCATTAATAATTTCATAAACTTTTGTCATGAGCATAAATAAGGAATTTTATTAATACTTACAAGTAGCTCTATTTTTTAACAGACTACAAAAAAAGAATGTTATTTGTTTGCCCTGTAATTATGTTTTTTTATTATACTTTTACAGATTCCTGATGGTCTGTCAGTGCAGGTTTGCTGGGAATGCTTTGCAAACATCAAGAGAATATGTCAGTTCCGAACACAGATCTTCAAATCTTACGAAATACTCATTAATTATTCTAGACAGGTAAGTAAAATAGACAAAGCTTTTTGAGGTTCCATATTCAATATTTGACAATTATGTATAATATAGTTGGTCCTGGCTGCATCTGCAGTCGTTAGCACCCACCAACCCGCACTGGGCCCGCGTGTTGGCCCGGTCATGGCCCGATCTCCCTAACCCATCAATAGGGAAGGCCTGTGCCCCAGCAGTGGGGACATTAATAGGCTGATGATGATGATGATGAAGCATCTGCTCCCATCCATCCGTCCATCTGTCAGTAGACTGTATCTCAAGAACAGTTGGGAGTTAGGTGTAGAGCAGTTGGGATAATCACAAAATTTCAAATGTATTGGTTGTTGCTGCTACAGCTGTTTTCTGCTAAAAAATATTAAAAATAAAATTAATAGCAATCCTCTGAACTCTCTCTACATTACAATAATACAGTGAAATATAACCTAATACAATGCTTTGGACTTTCTTGAGTTTGACTCAATATTGTACACATTTTCGCTCACTTTAGATATTATAGCAAACATTGCCAAGCCAGCTTACCTGACAATTTGGTATTTATTACAACCTGCTAATATATATATGTATATATATATGTATAACAACATATTTACATGTTAAATTAATGTTTCCGACAGCATACATTTCTGAATTCGCCATCAGACTTTACAAAGCATTCAACTACTCGTCTATGTACAGCAAGTGTAGCAGTTGAATGTATTACTCCACCATCGACATTATCAACTGAGAATGAAGACAATGTGGACAAGTTGCCTATCAAATATGAATCGGTAGCTGGTAAGTATGATCCTGAACTTGATATGTATACCTAATTTAGTGTACAAAATTTATGCAAATTTCAATTTCTTATTAAATCATAACATTATTTTAAAAGCATATACTACTTAAAACATGGTTAGAATTTTGTGACCTTATTGGCAATGATTGTGCGATGGCGCTATGCGATCTCATTGTGCGATGAAAATTATGTACCTGTGCACATGCGACAGCTTACAAGCTGTATTAGCACACTTCTGAAGAAAATTTTTACATGACGAGAATGCATTGTATCATTGCAAATAAGGAAGACACCTTACTCTGACATAAAATCACAGAAATAATTATAAAATTTTAGGATTTAATAATTCAGTCATAATAGCAGCATGAAAAAATTCTTTTCTTATTAAATTTTATTTTATTGCAATAAATGTATTACATAAGTATAGTAGAGATGTATACATTTTATGCCATTCACCAGTTATTTGCTGTTTGTAAACTTGACAATGAGAAAACAAGGAGCTTGATGGTGCAGGTGGTTAGCGCGTTTGGCTGCGATCATTGAAGTTAAGCAACTTTCGCAATGGTCGGTCATTGGATGGGTGACCAAAAATCTTCTATCTCGAATTCGTCCGTGCTTCGGAAGGCACGTTAAGCCGTTGGTCCCGGCTGCATCTGCAGTCGTTAGCACCGGCCAATCCGCACTGGGCCCGCGTGGTGGGTCCTGGCCCAATCTCCCTATTCTCCTATTCCCAGCAGTGGAGACATTAATAGGCTGATGATGATGATAAATTTGACAACAGTCTGTCCTTATCATGCTATATGTGGAATGAAAAGGACAAACTGATGTCAAGTGTATAAATAGCAAACACTAGTAAAACACAGCTAAGTAAAGTATTGGCATGATTGCTTTGATTGTTTCAGAGCCTCTAAAAGAAGAAGAGGAACCCTTCAATGAATACGAAGATATTCCAATAGAGTATGAACATAATGAGGTCCAGTCACAAGATGATATAGTGAAAGATGAGTTGTCATCGGAAGATGATGTGCAACTGTCAGAGTTGAAACAAAAGAAGCAGAGAAGGGAGAGAAGTAAAAAGATCAAAAAGCACAGAAAAAGCAGTAGTGATAAGGTAAGAAAGAGCTACTTTCTATACTAATAAGTTGGTTCGAAATGTTATTAACGGGATTGCTACCATGTTTGTCTTTTACAAGTCCTTGCGGCACTGCTACAAGCTGTATGATCGCGGGGTAAATGAAGTTGTTGTAGGTAGGAAGGATATTATTGACAGATATATTGGTCTAAAAAGAATAAATGGCTTGGAAGATATAAGATATCTGCCCGGAAATATTTTTATTAATTTGTTTAAAGCAGCAAAATGTACTTTGTTGCTCTTGTACAAATTTGTGAGCAGGAAAAGTGTATGGAAATCTGTTGTGGATGTGTTGATTTTTTATTAGTACAATAGAGAATTGTTTCCTCCCGAAAGAGGCTGAATTTATCAGCAACAATGTACCTAGTTTGAGAACTGAGGCCCCAGCATTGACAGCCCAGTAATCCGATCCTATCATCAGAGTTTCTATGAAAAGTACGCAGCGCCGCTCTCTAACGTAATAACAACACTACTACGGAGCTGTCAAATTTCGTAAACGAATAAAAAAGAAACAAATACCATAATGTTGGTTACGAAAATAATAAAAGTACAAAGCCTGTAAACAGTGATCAAATTGAAATTTTCAATTTAGTGAACTAAATCGACAAATTAGAATAAATAATTTTTATTATTAGTATACAAAAATTAGTTTACTATTTTATGAACTAAACAAAACGAGTTTTTGCGTAAACTGTCTCAATAAAACTTATTATATTTATTGACTTCTTTAAGTGAAACTTCTATTACATTGGCAAAAATATTTCTTTTTCATTTAGAGTATGTCGTATTACTACTATGTCGAATATAGAATTACCCTATTTGTTTTTCTGTACTCGAGATGGCGTTTAGTAGTAAAAGTGAAGATTTATTAACTCCACCGGAGATTAAAGAAACTGCCCAAGCGGTTATTCAGACCTTATTACCCGAGAAATCCAGAAGAAAGTATAACCAGGCGTACGAAGAGTTCATACAGTGGAAGAGCGAGAAGAATGCGCCTCTTTTTTCTGAAAATGTTCTACTGGCATATTTTAATGAAAAAGCGCAAAAGTTAAAGCCGAGCTCCGTGTGGGCTTATTATTCCATGTTGAAAACTACAATATTGGCAAAGAATGACATTAATATTGTTGAATACAGAAAACTTACAGCGTTTCTGAGAAGAAATGCTAAGGGGTTCCGTAGTAAGAAATCGAAAGTTCTCACTACAGAGGATGTATATTCCTTTCTGGAAAAGGCTCCGGATGACAAATATTTGTTGCTGAAGGTAAGGTTTGTGATCAAAAATATTTTTTATTTAATTTAATACCATCTAATTAGTATTGACGCATAAAAACATGTAGACTCGTAACAAAAATTAAACTTAAGTAGCAAGATTACGCACACGCGTCTTATGTGCGTAATTTTCAAACAGTCTCGTTTCGACCGTGCTTTGATTACAACGCTACGCAATGAAAAAGTGTTCAGTTAAAAACTGCAAATAATATTAGGGCCTTATTTCACCAAGTCGACATATGTCATTGACAATGTCATAAAAATTACAGGCATTTTGATACTATCAATTGCCTATATCTTACATCAACGACAATTATTTTGTGAATCAAATAGTAAATTTTCCAAGTCGACATATTTGACAAATTGTCAGTAATTCTTGACATGATATTGGGGCTGTGACTGTGACAATTGTAGTGTTTTTGTTTTTAGTAACGAAAAGTAGTGAAAGCTTGAAAACATGACTTCTTATTCAGGGGAATTAAATAAAGAATATGTTTTTCCTTTAATAACACTGCTTTTGCGTTTAAAGGTAAATTACGCAAAGCAAAATCAGGATCGAACATTTTATTAAAGAAATTGGTGCGGAAACTAGATTATCCACACAACAAACAGTCAGTGACATATGTCGACTAAGTGAAATAGGGCCCAGATCCACACTTAAAAAACATGAAGTGCCATCTTTCAGCTAAGTGTCCCTTTAAACAAACAAAATAACGCGTCTTTACGTTTTCTATCGTATTGTTACTTAATTACACGTTAATAGCTACAACAAAATGTCTACCTTACTGCTACGACATAACGCATTCATTTGAATAAATGTATTAATGTTATCTGGTTATATTGATGTATAAGTATACCACAGCGCTGCTTCGAGGTTTTTTGATACACTTTTGTAAGGCGATTGGGAGTTTACTTATTTTTATATGTCAATGCTAATTAGTTATTTTAAGAATTCTAGGTTTTTCATTTTTGACCATGTTACAGGTTATTTTGATCTTGGGAGTGAATGGCGCCTGTCGGTCCCACGAACTCTTAAACATGACAATAGATGACATCGAATTACTCGAAAATTTGATCATAGTTAAACTTCCCAACACGAAGACCAAAATTCAGCGATCATTCGTCATAACGGACGTGTTCTATGAGATCGTGAAGAGATATATACAACTTCGGCCGAAACAATTGACGACCAACCGCTTCTTATTGCAGTACAAAGACAATAAGTGTTTGAAACAAGTGATTGGAAAAAACAAAATGAGCACGGTGCCAAAAGCAATCGCTTCCTATCTGAAATTGCCCGATCCGCAGGAATACACTGGACATTGCTTTCGCAGAACATCAGCGACTATTCTCGCGGATTCCGGTGCTGATTTGGCCACATTGAAACGTCACGGTGGTTGGAAATCTTCCGGTGTTGCAGATGGCTACATCAAGAATTCAGTCGAAAGCGGAACACGAATAAAAAATGAAATAGCATAATCTGTAACTTTGCATCAAGATTTTTTGAAGTTATACTTCTTTAGGCGCGTTATAAAAAAATGATGAGAGTGAAATTTTAAGATGCGCGCGCATCACTGTAACACAAGTCGCTTTAGCGACCAACTTCATGCTGTTGCTTTTGTGTTTACCGCACATTAATAAAATCTACCAACAAAATAGAAATAGAATCTCTATTTAGTGGGTGCTAACGACTGCATTGTGAAGGCCTATCAAAAGTATTTATTAATCTGGAACAACGGAACCAAAGCGCGATTCAGGAGACTACAGCGCCATCTCTTGACCATTGGTGTAGTAGAACCAAAAACCACATCTTTATTTTTTGTAATAAAGTAACAGTTATAGGTATTCATATTTATAATATTTATCCACATGTTTCTAGTTTGTATATTCGGAATACGTGTTTGAGTTTCATACAAGTGCAAATCACATATGTTCTAATAAATTATATTCAGTAGCGATTTTAATTGAATATTTTGATTATTTATTTATTTTTTCAAATTATAACTGAACTTTATTGACTGTGTCCTTTTCCAGACTTTATTAATTTATTGTAATTAATTATTTGCATGCAATTAAAAACTAATTTTAAACGATGCCAAAGAAGGATAACTTCTCACGCGCCTACATAAGTACACGCACCCATTTTTTTTGTATTAATCACCACGGCAACCAGTTGCCCCTTTGGCACTTAAGTCTTAGCAGTCACTCACTAAAATTATGAGCAATGCTCTTGGCGGTGCAGTCTATGGATCTCCCTCTGTCCTCCGCCAGCTCTTTGACTCCCAACACCAACCTTTTCCTTAATTTGTTTAGTGTAGGCTATCCTCGGTCTTCCCCTTTCTTTTTCTTTCCACATTTCCCTCAATGATCATCATCATTATCTTTGTCAGCCGATTTCCATACGGAACGATCCTGCGCTCTCCGCATCCAGTGGGTTCCCCCGACTCGCTTGATGTCGTCAGTCCACCTCGTGAGGGGTCTACCGACACTGCACTTCCCGGTGCGAGGTCGCCATTGCAACACCTTAGGACCCCAACGTTCATCGGTTCGCCGAGCTATGTGCCCCGCCCATTGCCACTTCAGCTTGGCGATCCGTTGAGCTATGTCGGTGGTTCTAGTTCTTCTACGGATTTCCTCATTTCTGATTCGATCACGTAGAGAAACACCGAGCATAGCTTTCTCTCTCTCTCTCTCTCTCTCTCTCTCTCTCTCTCTCTCTCTTTTTTTTCTTTATAAATACGTTGCATTGTACAAAGTGGCCAAACAGCCGATTATCCTTCCCCTTCTGTTCTCCAGTGTGTCAAGTAAAGCTCTCCGTTCATCCACACTGTCCAATACCTCTAGTCAGTTTTTTGGTCCAACCAATCCAGAAATCAGAAATCAATATATCTTTATTCAAATTGGATGTATAGTACAACTCTTTTGAATCTTCCAAACATTTTTTTTTTCTTACCACTCGTTATTGGACATATTATTTAGCTGCGGAGAAAAACGAGCTACGAAAAACCACAACATTAAAAGTATAATGTAACAACATTTACAAATCATTATGTTGTTACAACGTCAATACAATCATGATTTATTTAATCTAGAAAACCTGTTGGAATGATTTTACCAGTTCAAACCCAAGCATTTTTGGCTGTAATATAATCAGACACTTTGTAATAAGTCCGTAAGTAATCCTTTCTATCCTTCGCCAACACCACATCTCAAACGCTTCCAATATTTCTCTGTCCTTTTGGTCATAATCCACGTTTCGCATCCATCCAGGGCAATACTTCAACAGTATGTTTTTATTAATTTCTTCCGAATCTCCCTTGAATTTTTTTATATAAAGATCTGTCTCATATTTAGAAAATTTTGTTTAAGCCTTAGTACTAAGTTGTAAATAGTAAAAAAAATATTTACTGTAGTTTATTTTAAAGTATTCTTATTGGTGCCAATAATGGTATGATTCTCTAAACCTAAACTTAAATTTGACAACAGTGTATTCTTGTCATACTCTTTACATAATGAAAAGGAGAGACTGATGTTTAATTAAGATTTACGTTTAGAGAATCAAGCCAGAATCGATACCATTGATTGCTTAAGCTTCTCCCACGGGTGTACAACAAAGCTTTGGGTAGCTTTGGTACAAATGCTCTAAAATTTGCGTTCGAAAGGAGATTGCTCAAATTGGCCTAAATGTACAAAAAATATTTACATATACGGTAATTCTTTTCGTAATTTATACTTTATTTTACAGTCATTAGATTTTAACTGACACCTTTGTATAATATATTCATTTTAAAAAGGACTTTTAATTTTACCGGTTTGGAAAACATACGAATCATTTTTAATGGCTATGGGTGTTACATTCAGCCATAGACTGATCAAAGTTGTTTATATAACATCAAAACAAATCTATTTTTTAAAGATCGATAAAATAAATCATTTTTTTTTTATTACACTGTGGTATTAATATCCACAAGTATATTATCATTTTTACTACATGCAAATGTGCTAAGACAAATATTAGAGATAAATGATATAGGCGACATCTTAAAGTCAATTGACATACATTTTTCGCCAAACACCTCCATAAACACATTATAAGATGTGATACACTAAAAATCTAAAATATGGTTATAATATAAACATAACAAAAATAATAAGCTTTCTTTAGTTAACGAGAGTTTATAAAGTCTCTCTAATCTGTGGCTTATTCACAAACTACCAAGCAAATAACACACAGTTTCTGTCACAGAGTACTTAATTATAACCGTAAATGCATAGATGATACCTGATTTTAAAATTTACTCTAATGCATTAACTTTAAAAACAGACAACTATCTATTAATCTACATGCTTTATATACCTGAATATAATATATAATTTCGGTACTTGGTTTGATTTCCCTAGTTTGCTTTAACTTATTTGTTTTTTATTATTTTAACATCTATGTACATAACCTCAAAATCATTCAGTGTTTAAGGTTTATAGAAGTTCTCAGGGGTGTCCGTCAATAATATTCGTTTCTACAGTAATTTATATATAATTTCGAATCTAGGAAACAATTTTTCATGATTATTGGTCTTTAGGCCAAACATGTATGGAAGCTGAGCAATCTCCTTTGAATCAGTACTGTCGTAATGAATTATGGGGTTTCGTGTCCAGATGCTAGACTATAGCTAGACTGGGGATAATTTGAGACGCATAAAAGAGATTGTGGTAGACGATACAGTTGTATGTGGAGCTAGCTGAAGGAGCGTTCTAAATTCAAAGTTCGAACGCTTATTTTAGCTCAATTTAGGTCCAAAGCTTCGTCACGCAGGCCTGGGCTAAGCATTAGAGTAAGTATTTATTTAAAGTTATTTGCTTTGCAAACTTAGAGCAGCTCCAATAAATCTAAAAGTTCTAAACTTGCACAAAACAAATAAATATAATTAGTAATTAGGGACTACTGAAATACAATGCATCCATAAGATTTTAAATCAAAAAAGAACATATCACAACCATTGCGCAGTGTAGAAAATGGTCAGCGTCGTCTATTTTTTTTTTAATTATTATATTATGATTATAAAAGAATGTATGCAAAGCTCGTAAAGGAAAGTTTTAAATCTATGCATGCATTTATTTTATCGATAAAATACAACATCTGCCGCAAAAGTAACGTAAATCATTTTGCGATGTAGAAATCACTCAGCGCCATCTATTATCAGCATAAATAATTATATGAAGAAATTAAATTATGTTTTATAAGTGTTTTTTTTTTAATTAAATAAAACTAGTTTTTACGGGTTAATGAGTGATGTTGTGCGTGAAAACCTAAGAAACAAATATGTTTTTTTTAACCTAAATTTCTTTGCACGAAGCGTATACCAATTAGGAACTGCCCTAATTGGAGAGACTGTGGTATTATGGGACAATAGGTACCTTACTTTAAAATACTATTGTTCTACTTTAAAACGGGGTGGCAATTTGAGAAGGGCGGCACGCCCCTGCTTGTGCACTATCTGTAATTACCGCTTTGTCCTATCTTAAATACAACTCTGGCTACGATCTTTATACTAATTTACCAACAGGGCCATATTTACCAAGTCGAAATATGTCACTGACATGTCGTCAATGTTTTGTAGAAAGGGTGAATAGGCAATTTTTTGAAAACTATAATTATGATGGTGAGAATTGTAAGGGCGTAAATGTCCAATTTTAAATGAAGCTAATGTCAACTTTGACATTTATTGCACCTAAAGCGTAGGTTTTGAACGCAGCCCTGGGGCGTCGCGACACGACGAGTGACGTTATCGCATGTTTGCGTTTTTAAATGCATACAGTAAGCCATTTTTAAAGATAGAAAAAAATTTAAAATACAGTTATTATAACTTGTATTCTTTTTTGTAGATTGCTTTGGCATTTTTAGAAAAAACTGCACTGTTGTTGAAGTAAGATACGGAGAATTGTAACTAAATGCCTGTAATTTATTTAAGCATTTCTGAAAATAATTCTCAAAATTGTTACTTAACATCAGCTGTCACTTTACAATTATCAGCTTTTTTATATCAGTGACACGGAACAGCCACAGACAAAAAAAACAGTGACATATGTCGACTTGATGATATTTCACCAAGTCGTCATATGACATGTATGACAGCCAATTTATTTGTAGATCTTATTCAGCACTCAAGAAAGCACAAAATTGCTTGATAAGAACTGTTTACTGATCTTAGATGGTGCTTGATTAAAGGTCATCTTTAATGTAATTTTAAGCTAATTTACGTCTGTTGAGTACTTAAGAAATAATTTATTATATTTTTTATTTTAAGTATTTATTTATATTTATTAAATATTAATCGAAAGAGAATTTTACTAGAAAAAAATCTACGCGGTCTAGGCAGCAGATGGGCCTCGAACCTCGAAACTGACCAATTATGGTGCCGCGACCTCAGTGACCGTGTCGAATTTCTTCTAGTATTTCTTAGGCTGCAAGGCAGCGCCATCATAATACTTAAGAAGTATTGAAAAATAATTAAAATGTTGCTTTTGCTACATTCATTTTCTATCTAATAAAAGATTTTTTTAAATGACTTATTTTGTTTTATTAAACTTATAAGGTCGTAACAGACATATTAACTAGGAAAAGTGTTGTCACCATATCAACTCCAGCCGTTCAATTCGTGTCGATTTGTATGAAATTTCCTACAGCAAAGTACACTACGTATTCGTAACGCAATCGCCTCTAGGAGAATCGATACGTGGCCAGCTGCAGTGGGAGAGGCGCAAGTGGTTAGCCCGTTCGACTGCGATCGTTGAAGTTGAGCAACTTTTGCAGTTGTTGGTCATTGGATGGGTGACAGAAAATCTTCTGTTTCGAGTTCCTCCCTGCTTCGCAAGGCACATTAAGTCGTTGGTCCCGGCTGCATCTGCAGTCTTTAGCACTCAATCTGCACTGGACCCGCGTGGTGAGTCATGGCCCAATCTCCCTATTCCATAATAGGGAAGGCCTGTCCCCCAGCAGTGGGGACATTAATAGGCTGATGATGATGTATAAATTAGCGAATAACGAATCACTGTAAATAACTTTACAAATATAATCAAATAAACTTATTACTTAGTTTATTTTTAAATCTTTCTCGTCAATAAAATATTATCCTTACTATCTTTACTAATAATATGAAGAGGCAAGAGTTGTATGTTTGTAACAAATAATCTCTCAAACTACTGAACCGTTTTTGAAAATTCATTCACCATAAGATAGCTACATTATTCATTATATTTTCAACCATTAATCTCAAATTCGTTGATTTGTTTGCTCGATTTATAAATCTACGTAATAATCCATAATTGTCACCAGCCAAAACTCACAGAGAAATCTTCACCAAGTAATCCTCAGAAGAAACTAAAAAACCTTCCATCGAACCTTGTCGAAGTCTACACAATGACGGAAGACGAAATGTGGACTGTCAGATCAGAAGACCAGGAAAATAAGTACTTGACGAGGCTAAGGACGAAGTGTCTGCAGTGCCTGATGACTTTCAACTCTGAGAAGCATGAGGCAGAGCATATGGCTGCTAAGCATAAACCGGTGAGTAGGCGATAGTGAAACTGTACGAGCATACTACGTACATTTCGCCCGCTCATCATTTTTTATAATTGACCTTATTTTATTATCTATTCTATACTTATAATAAATCTGTAGAGATGTCAATTCTGTACATGAAATATATTTTCAAAATAACTATCAGGGGGTGATTAGTGATCGATACTGATGCCAAAAATGCAATCAGTAAATTTTTTGTCTGTCTGTCTGTCTGTGTGTATGTTCCTTATAGAAACAAAAACTACTCGACGGATTTTAACGAAACTTGGTACAATCATTCTTCATACTCCTGGGTAGGTTATAGTATACTTTTCATCACGCTACAATCAATAGGAGCAGAGCAGTGAAGGGAAATGTTGGGAAAACGGGAGAAGTTCCTCCATTTTTAAGCTTCCGTCGCGTGTGCAGCCTTAATGGTTAAAGTTACATAGAAATCATGTATGACGGAAATATTTTACATAAAATTATCTAAAAAATATCCCGCAACAGCATATGTCTATCTTTTATGGTTGACTCACAATAACACGTGTAACTCCTGATAGCTTAGCAGATCGGAGCATTCTGATTATATTTGATACGATTTTCAGTTTTTTTTTTATTATTATATGAAGAGTCATTTTAGTCTACACCACAGCTCAACACCGAAGCGAAGCGAGGGTGGGCCACTAGTTTTCAATAATCGTCAATTACTTACATCATCATCTTCATCATCGACCCATGCTCGTCCACTGCTGGATATAGGTCTCTCCTAATGCACGCCACTGCTCCCGATTTTCTGCCACTCTCATCCAGCCGGCTGGAGTGCCAGCCTACGAATGTCATCATCCCGTCTTGTCTCAGGGTGTCCCACACTACGTTTAACGAGTCGCGGTCTCCACTCAAGAACTTTCCGGCTCCAACGGCCGTCAGTTCTGCGGCTAATGTGACCAGCCCACTGCCACTTCAGTTTGCTAATTACTTACATTTTAGTTCGCAATTAGCTATCAAGTAAGCCGTGCGCGTTTTTTAACTCATTGATAACAATCATTTTTATATCAATTAGTATTGTTTTAAGTTATTGTTTAGTTACCAAAATATACTTTATAATCAAGTTATCAAGTTTATCATTTTATCAGTATCTTAGTTTCCATAGGTCGTTGGTTCAAATCCGGCTCGAAGGACCAATTTTCGGGATGTAAGCTAAGATACCGAAATTAAGATACTAATAAAATGATAAACTTGATAATAAATATATTTCGGTAACTAAACAATGGTGTCGATTCTAGCATGATTCTCTAAACCAGCTATACTCTAAGTGTGTTCCGCGGAACCCTAGGGTTCCGTGATACCTCTGTCGGGGTTCCGCAAGAATTTAGAAATAAAAAAATCAAAACACCTCTCTCTGGTCGCTCCGCGGCTGTGCGGACTCCGCGGCCGCGCGGAGACAAAACGCTATGAATGTTATTTATTTATTTATTTGTATTTGTATAAGCTTGTGTTACATTAGCTGGTACAATATCTCATAAGTTTGGTCTCAACAATTTTATACTTGTACAACGCGTTCGCTCTAAGTTTGCCGGTCTGTGGAATGCGCGTACCCTCCCCCACGTGACAACAAAACTTATAATGTGTCATAGTTTTACCCAAATATCTAACGTACACAATTTTTATTGTTACAATTAAATAAAAAATTTCGAACGTCATACACTCATACCTATCGCCAGCGGCAAACTTAAAACGAGCGGGTAGTATACTTGTAAGCGCTCAGTCTCTTTGATAAAAGCCGCCTCTGAATTAGACGCTATAGTTGTCAACTAGCGACTTTCGTCTCTAACTTCAAAGGATAAAGTCGATATTGTTTACAACGCTATTTTTAAATTTCTGTTTTTATTTTTGCTTTTTGTTTATCAAAGGTGCCGACTCGAGTATTTTCGAGAATATTTGAGATCGAGTCTAGGACTAAGTATAAAAGCGGCGATCGCGCGTTGGCGTCGTCAGTTGATGATTAGCGTTCGGAGCGATAAGTTACTACCTACTTACAAGCTCGCTAGCGAGAAACTGGTGTTCATTGTTTTACTGCCTGCTGTATTCTGTTGTCTCAGTTTTATACATTTCTTCCCTGTAGGTTCTAAATTTAGTCTCTTATACGCAGTAACGATTGTGCATTATTTAAACCCCACTATCCTGACTTGTAACATTATAAATAAAGAAGAATGGAACGTTGGCTTAAAGGTGTTAAACGTGTTCCAACAACATCTTCTAATGACGCTGAATGTTCAAAAGCAATGCGCGCGGAGAATTTAGCAATCACCGATCCAGAAGATGATGCCACGAGTGCCACGACGTCAAGCTCGACGGTTTCAAAGACGAAAAAAAGGAAGTATGATGAATCTTATATCAGTTTCGGATTTGTTGATTCCAACGGCTCACCTCTCTGCATGCTCTGTAGTAAACTGCTTCCTAATAGTTCCATGGCACCTGCCAAATTGCGTCGACATTTAGAAACCGTACACCCCGAGACTAAAGACAAGAATAAAGAATTTTTTGTTCGCAAAAAAGATCAGTTATTAGAAAGTCAAAAAAATATGATGCATGTAACACAAACTACCAACGAAAAGGCCACGGAGGCATCATACTTAGTTAGCTATCGCATTGCACAAGCAGGTGAAGCGCACACTATCGCTGAGAAATTAATAAAACCATGTGTATTAGACATAACAAAATGTATGCTTGATGAAAAATCTGCAAAGCATCTTTCTACTGTTCCGCTATCAAACGATACTGTTTCACGACGAATCCATGATCTGGCAAGCTACGTCAAACAAGAACTAGTTACACGTCTACAAAATACACGATTCGCTTTGCAAATGGACGAGTCGACTGATGTCGCTGGTTTGGCTATCCTGCTGGTTATTGTGAGATATCCATATAAAAGTTCTTTTGAAGAAGACATGCTTATGTGTTCATCGCTGCTTACAAACACTACCGGGGAAGAAATTTTTAATAAAATAAATATATTTTTTGAAGAACATAATCTCAGTTGGAACAATTGCATTGACATTTGTACAGATGGGGCCAAGGCGATGACAGGTAAAACAGCAGGAGCAGTGTCACGAATGAAAAATAAAGCGCCTAATTGTAGTTCCAGTCATTGTATTCTGCATAGACAAGCACTTGCGATGAAGCAAATGCCGTCTAATCTAAAATTAGTTATGGATGAAGCGGTAAAAATAATTAATTTTATCAAATCACGACCACTACAATCCCGATTGTTCTCATTATTGTGTGAAGATTATGGCAGCAAACATAAAACACTGCTGCTCCATACAGAAGTGCGATGGCTGTCTCGGGGAAAAACTTTAACAAGGCTATTTGAACTTAGAGCCGAGTTACAAATGTTTCTTTCAGCAGATACTTCTTTTAATTTGAAGGACCGTTTGTATGATAAAACTTGGTTGTTCCGATTGTCTTTTATGGCGGATATCTTTCAAAAACTTAACGAATTAAATTTATCATTGCAAGGTAAACAGACAACAGTGTTTCAGGCCTATAATAAAATAACTACTTTTAAAAGAAAATTAGATTTTTGGATCATTTGCATTGGTAAGAAAGAAATAGAAAGTTTTACGTTACTCACTGAGTTTGTTAGCGAAAACGACTCAGAAATGTTTGAAGATAATGTGTTTGAAGAATTGGTCCAATATCTCAGTTCGATGCGCGCATCTTTTGAAAAGTATTTTCCCGAAGAACACAATACAAAAATTAAAGTGAACTCCTGGATTCATAATCCTTTTTTACCCAACTTGGAAAAGCCTGAAAACATGTCAAATGAGATATATGAATCTCTTTTAGAAATGTCATCAGACACAAGTATGGAGTCATTGTTCAAAACGACGCCTCTTAATGATTTTTGGTGCAGAATCCAAGATGAATATGCAATGCTTGGCCAAATGGCTCTGGATATTCTTCTCCCGTTCCCAACTACATATTTGTGCGAAACAGGATTCTCTACCTACGCAGCCACGAAAACAAAATATCGCAATAGACTGGACGCCGAAGCTGATATGAGACTCCAACTTTCTTCCATCAAACCTGATATCAAGCAATTGATGAAAAATAAAAAACAGTTTCATACCTCCCACTAGTTAGATTTTTTCTTTTTTAATGTTTTCTATTATTGTCCTTACCAAGTGGTGAAGTAAATAATAATTAGTAACGGATACATTGTACTTTTATTATGCTGATTAATATAGAATACACTTATAAAAATAATTGTTTTATTGTAGGGTTCCATCAAGTATTTTGCTTCCCAAAAGGGTTCCGTCATTTAAAAAGTTTGAGAACCACTGCTCTAAACCTAAACTTAAATTTGACAGCAGTTTATCCTTGTCATTCTCTATACAGAATGAAAAGGAGAGACTGATGTTAAATTTAGTTTTAAGTTTAGAGAATCACGCCAGAATTGGCACCAATAACTTACAACAATGCTAATTGATATAAAAATATTGTTATGAATGAGTACGTGCACGGCTTACTTGATAGCTAATTGCGAACTAACTTGTAAGTAATTGACGATTATTGAAAATAATAAAATAAGGTCAATTAGTAAAATGATGAGCGGGCGAAATGTACGGAGCTTGCTCGTACAGAAACATTCATTTTATTTATTTATTTGTATTCAGGCATCGTAGGCCCATAGAAATGTTTACCTTATAGTCTTAACATTATTATGAAATATAAAACATAATTCAAAATTCTGTATTTTAAATAACACATTTGTTTCTTAGGTTTTCACTGACACCACTTATAAAAAAAAGACGTTTGTTTCAACGGTATAGTATATATTATATAGGTATATTCGATGATTTATTTATTAAACAAAACTAGTTTTTTACGGTTTAATGCACGAAACTTTATTTATTTATTGACGTTTCGTAGCCTTTACAGGCTTCGTCGTCAGAATAAATAAAGTTTCGTGCATTAACCCGTAAAAAACTAGTTTTATTTAATGAGTGATGTGCGTGAAAACCTAAGAAACAGATTTATTTATTTATTGACGTTTGTCATCAATCTTCTTCTTCTTCTTCAAAATTCGTTTTCTGTAGAGGGTGAAACTTCTTTTATATAAGTAACACGTTTAGCCGGTGACGTGGAACCTTAAAGGTAGATTTCTGGTATAAAAACCAAAATACAAAATTTCAGCTAAAACGGTTTAGAGGTTTAAGCGTGAAAAGGTAACAGACAGACAGACACATTTTCGAATTTATAACTTTAGTATGGACGGATTTATAAATGTCATCATAAAACAGAAAAAAACTTTAATAAATATTATAGGTACTAGGGGTGCCCGCTACTTCGGCTGCTGGGAAAAAAATGGTTTCCCATACCAGCAAGGATATATTTTTTTTTCTATACATGGGTATAGAAAAAATTAAATTTATTTTATCCTTTAAAACCGCTATTAAAGATTCTGAAACAATAAAGCTTATTGCAAACATTTAAACATCCAATATCTTTAATGATCGCTTCACTTTATAAATCCCTTCCGCGCCAAAGGACAGCGACGATATTAAATACCATACCCTAGATACACCACGTAGCTTGTTAACTAAATATAATAAATAAATATTTCCGACACTCACACCAATTAGCCTAGCCCCAAAGTAAGCACTATAAGGCTTGTGTTATGGGATGCTAGGGTAACGGTAGGATAACAAAAATAGCACTACAAAGGAAACAGACCTTTACACCTATTCACAGAAAGGCGAAGATTGCTTGCAGTGCGACGTTTGCAAGTCTTACTTTCTAACGAAAGACCACCTGTCGGCGCATAGGAATCTGCACCTAACCGCGTATAGATGTAAGGAGTGTGACGTCAGAACTTCAGTGAAAGCGATAATCAGACGTCACATTAAGATCCACCAAGGGGATGTCAGAGAGTTTCAATGCAAGAACTGTGATAAGTTATTTACGTAAGTTCCTTTTAAAAAAAAACGTTATTCTTGAGGAGCTGAATTTTATATATTAGATTTTGACAGATCAGAAAGCGTATCATGTTGTGACCCTGCCAGAATTCTAATTTCACTTGCAAATATTTAAAATCAGTCTAGTTCGTTTTTCACACGAAATGTAGGTGTATTTCACTACTAATTTAACTTTATTTTGAATACATATCTATTTTTTTTATTTTTTGCAGTACTAGTACAAACGCAAATACTTAAAATAGTATTACTAGTTGCAAATATTTAAAACCAGTATAGTTCTTTTTTCACACTAATGTATGTGTATTTCACTACAAACTTTTATTTACAGTACTAGATCTAAACTTTCTTACCACCAAAGCAAATACCACAAGGAGAAATTGCAATGCGACTGCTGCGGCAAAGTGTTTGCGAGCAAAATGACACTTAAATACCATATCAAGTAAGTCGACAATCGCATAGCATAATAGGCATAGGGTATTTGATATTTTTTTGAAAACGATCATAGGCACCAATAAAAATTAGATAGTTCAAAGCTATTTGACAGTATGAGGTGAGGCGGGTCATGCTCGTGAACGGGTGCTGCCCAACGATATTAAATACCCTAGATACACCACGTGCGCTCAAAATGTGTCCTAATCAAAAAGTGCTTTTGTTCTTATACTTACTTTAAGCTGATTTAATTAAAACTTTGATTGTTTACCCCTCATTTGTTCTATCATACCGTTGAGTATTTGAACGAAAATTTACTCATTTTAAATCAAATGCCAACAATAGGTTCTTATAATTTTCTGTTTTTTAAGCATTTAACTTCTAGATGCTTCAATCTAAAGACAAATTATTCTAAAAAAATAATTTCCCGTCCCGTCTGCTGCCTGGTCCGCGTGGAGTTTTTTCTAGTATATTTTTTCTTTAGATTTAAATAGTTTCTTAATTATTCATACCATCAGTTTCACCATGTTTTAGTTGTATTTAATTGATTCTCTTTAAATATATAATTGTTATTTTACAGAGTTTTGGCTAAAGACGATAAACCCAAAGAGAAACTTAATATTCCATGCAAAGGATGTAACAAAGTGTTCCACTCAAAGAAGAGTTATAGGGCTCATGTGTAAGTCTATCATATTTTTGTTTTGAGCATTAAACTATTAGATTTAAGTATAAATCGATAAAAATAACCTATAGTCTGTCCATTCTATTATTATCTTTTTGACAGATCGACGCCCATGAAATTTTGTATTGTTTACGTTAAACTGTCATACAAATAATATTGCACTGCATGGACAGGTACCGCCCACTTAGTGATGTGCCACACATAATGATTACTAAGATTGTGCCACAGATTACAAATAATCGGTAGAAATAAATGAGTACAACCAAATTGTAAGGAAAAAAAGTCAAAGATATAGTTATTTATAAACCTTTTTAAAATAAAATTATTAATTGTAATCAATTAATCTAATTGTACAGAGTATTAGTAGTAGTATAAGAATAAACAAACATATAAAAAGTATACTTCTTTATTGTTGTGTATTTAAACATAATATAGACAAATCACACCCAGAGACAGAACAAATACTCGTGGTCATCACACAAATATTTGTACTAGGTAATCTAATGAAATTTTGTAATAATTTATTAAACACCAGTATTTTTGATAACTAAAATAATTTTGATACTTATAATATAATCGATTAAACAAAGTTCTAGCATAAAATCTATTATAGCTTTAAATCGAACGAGTTATGTGATAGGATGTCACTATTTTTACTTCGATCGATGTGTCAAAAAGATAATAATACAGAGTGTTACAAAAATACAAATAAATCTTGAAGGGCGTTGAAGTGCATCATTATAAGGAATCTTCTCTAATTTTCTTTATTACAGCAGATTTATTACTACCCCTGGTAAGGTGCATGACCTCGAACTAGTGACGTGACTTAAAACGATCGATATTTTTATTAATCATTAAAAATAACTGTTTTTATAAAAAGTTTAAACTTCTTGCAAATATTTTAAGAAAATTAGAAAAGACTCCTTGTATGATGTACTTCAACGCCCTTCAAGCTTTATTTGTATTTTTGTAACACCCTGTATAATGGACAGACTATAGGAAAAATCTACTCGAATCGGAGCGCCCGTCTGGGGAAAATTTAAACTACCTTTTGGTGGTGTTGTGTTTAAGACGGTGAGTAAGGTTCCAGGGGGTCTACTCTCTTTCCCCGAAACGAACTTTCGATATCGAAGTTCAGACGAAATTTAATTTCAGCAATTTAAGGTTATATTAAATTTGAACGATAAACAATCAAATTGAAGCTTTTTTTGAGTATGCTTAGAAAATCTACACCTCAATCTATATTCCGACGACGAATATTATTATAATTTAAAACGAACCAGATTCATAGTAAGAAAAGTGCGAAGTTTGGATGAAATTTCGTTTTTCTTTGAATAGAGTAGGCCTCCAGGGCTCCACGGGGCAGGGGATGTGGTCAGGGTAGGCAACGTAGCGAGTGATATTTTTGGTATAATAATAATAATAATTTATTTATTTCTCTCCACCAACATCAAACGGATCATAGTAAACATAGGTTATTAATATAAATACATTAACGTGTCTGTGGGAGACTGGAGTCTAAACTAGGCAGTAGTCTACCTGTATTTCAGAGCTCCAGGCCTCCAACCCTCGATACAATTTTAAAACACTCCATAAAAACCTAATAGGTATAATGTATATATTTATTTATGGTAGAAACAAATTTAAAATAGAAATCATAAAAACTGTGCACGTGTGTGTGATAGTGTGTTTATGTTTGTGTGTGTGTGTGTGTTTGTGTGTTAAATTTTTAACTTACTTTACTTTAACTTACAAATAGTTTTTCAGTTTCATCATATGATTTGCTGAGGAGCCCTTGTGTTATTTTCTTTTTAATTTCATATTTACTTTTGGGATATATATTAAACTAGCTGACCCGGCGAACTTCGTACCGCCTTAGCGTAGCTTTGATGCACTACTTTATTTTGTATAGCTGACCTATCTTATGTATGAGTACCTATTCAATTGACACAGATTACCACAGATTTTTTTGTTTTAAATTGAATGACGTTGATATTTGTCAGCGCGGTTATCGATGTGGTGTCACAGATTACCACAGATTTTTTGTTTTAAATTGAATGACGTTGACATTCGTTACGTTATATTTTTCAATCTTTCTGAGAGATTTTCTTTATATTTTTTTCCGTAAGAACCTTGTACAGAGTATTAGAAAACTACAAAAAAAAAATCAGCCAAATCGGTCAAGCCGTTTTCATGTTATGTCGTGACAACGGAAAACGGGTTTCATTTTTATATATATAGATTAAAAGGCAGTATGAAATAGATCGCAAGCGTCTATAAGCTATGGTGTTCTTTACGACCTGACGGGCCGTATGTTTGTTTGCCACCCTTTTAACGATTCGAACCTGCACCTTTCGATGTCCAGCTAACGAGACCTTTATGGCCATGTCTAATTTCTTCTAGTATTTCTTAGGCTGCAAGGCAACACCATCACTTAGCATTGCAGGTAATCCACTTTAAACGAAAGCCTGTACCAAGCATTCTATCTTTTATAAACAAGAAATAGCATTGTCTCATATTCCAGTATTTCACACTAGAACAAGATCTAAAGTATAGACAGAGTTTAAATTCAAATCATAAAGTGGACTATTATTAGTAGTATCTTATTTTACATATAAAATAAATAAATATTTCCAACACACACCAATACCAGTTAGCCTAGCACCAAAGTTAACACTGTAAGGCTTGTGTTATGGGATACTAGGGTAACGGATAGAATATATAATATTGCGCGTATATATAAGTATATTTATATAGAAATACACATTAAACATCCGTAAATGGAATGCTCTGTCCGCTCACGTGTTCCCTCCCTCTTACAACCTGGGATCCTTTAAAAGAGGCGTGAAGAAGCAACATGCAGGCCGGCAGGCAGGGGTCAGACACACGCTGGGTCATAGCAACATGAAGTCTCTTTTATGGTGTTCATGTAAAAAAGGATAATTTTGGTGTATATGAAAAAGAGAATAACTTTTGAGCCTAACTACAAAATGCTTTAGTTCTTGTTCTAAGATTTGACTAGAATTTCAAATGCAAGCAATACGCCCCAATTTCGCACCGGTGAACTAAGTACCGATTAATATATTTATAGCGTCATCCACAACGGTATCACGTATCCGTGCCCTATATGCGGAAAACTGTTCCAATGGAAGAGGAATCTCGCCCGTCACACCCGGAACCATAGAGAAAGGGACGCGGGAGCTTTGCACGAATGCAGGGAGTGCGGTAAAACGTTCTCCAGTCGAGACTGTTATAATAACCATATGAAGCTGAGCAAACGGCATGTTCCAGAGGATGCGTATGTGTGAGTATCCGATTGTATCCGAAAATATCCGAAAACATCCGTTGGTATTTGAAATGGTGTTACGTTATAGAGAGTGTTTCGCTAACATGTGTCAATATATGGTCGTGTATCCGATGTTATCCGAAAATATCCGTTGTTAACCTAAACGGTGTAATGCTATTCGAGGGTGTTTGGTTAACATCTGTTAGTGGTTGAACGTGCAGCGCAAGCGAAATCGGCTGTCCTTTGAAAATTCCCGTCGTTATCCCAAAATTTGTTGGTTTTCTCAATGGATCTGTGTTTGATAGTAGTTTTATGTGCATATCCGAAAGTATCCTTTGATATCCGTTCGTGTCCGAACTAGTGAAACAGAATAGATTGAACTCCAGTTCCATTTTCAATGAAATGTGACTAAAATTGGTTATTTTCCAGGCACGAATGCAATTATTGTGGAAAAAAATTCGCGACAAAATGGTGTATGGTTGACCACATAGACTGGGACCATTTGAAAGTAATAAAGTACCAATGCAGTGTCTGTTTTAAGGTAAATATTAAATCATATAAAGGTTTATAATTAACATTTAATTTTATGCATAAACTTTTTGTCCCCACGAACTTCGTAGCTTCATGCCGCCATAAAAAAATGGGGTTTTTCTAAAATAAAAGTAGCCCAAATTACTCCTTATTTTTATCAGCTACCTGCCGATAAAACACCCGTCAAAATCGGTCCAGCCATTTCAAAAATTAACCGGAACAAATAGACAGACAAACAGACAAAAATTGTAAAAAAAAATTTTTGGTGTATGTACCGTATATATATTCATATGTATGTAGTAAAAGCGGTTTCAATATTACAGACAGACACTCGGATTTTATTTATTGTATAGATGAATAAGTGTGTCGATTCTAGCATGACTTTCTAAACCTTAACATAAATTTTAAACAAATATATTCTATAGAAAAAATATATATTTTCTTTCCGATAGCCTTTCAAAACAGCCAAGATAATGGTGGCCCACATGAACAACATACACGAAGGTAAAAAGAGTAAAGAACCCGAAGGAGAACACCTGTGTGAAGTTTGCGGCAAGTCGTATAAGGTAAAATGAACTTTTTATACAAAGTCAAATATAAAACTAGTTTTTTACGGGTTAATGCACGAAACTTTATTTATTTATTGACGTTTCGCAGCCTTTATAGGCAGCGTCGTCGGAATCAATTTTTTTATTTAATTTTGTCGAGCTACCTTCGAAAGACTTTTATTGAGCGTTCGGTTATTTCATTGTTCGATTTTTAAAGTTTTATTGTCTATGTATGAATTTATTACTTAACTAGCTGACTCGGCGAACTTCGTACCGCCCAAAAGTAATAATTTGCAATAAATTAAAATTGCGACTATAATTTGAGATTTAAACTATCCTATCTCTCAAGTTTGATCGAAATGCACATGGTGTGCGAATTTTATTATAATCGGTTCAGTGGTTTAGGAGTCCATTGAGGACAAACATTGTGACACGAGATTTATATATATTAAGATTTCGTTAATAAAGTACTTTATTTAAAAATCTTTTTTGTAATTTTGAATTTATTTATTTGACCCTAACTACCGTAAATAAAATATATAAAATAAAGTTTCGTGCATTAACCCGTAAAAAACTAATTTTATTTAATGAGTGATGTGCGTGAAAACCTAAGAAACATTTAAAGTCAAATATCTTTAAACAAACTGGATGCTTAGTACAACTCTTGAATCACATACAATATAGTAACGGCGAGTTTCAATAATCAAACTCCAATATCTTAATATAGATAAAACGTGGAGTAACTAATCGAAACTTATTCTTCGTTTATTAATAAGTGAGGAGCTCAATGGCGCAGGTGGTTAGCGCGTTCGGCTGCGATCGTTGAAGTTAAGCAACTTATGCAGAGGTCGGTCATTGGATGGGTGACCAAAAATCTTCTATCTCGAGTTCCTCCGCGCTTCGGTAGATACGTTAATCCGTTCGGTCCCAGTTGCATCTGCAGTCGTTAGCACCCGCCAATCCACACTGGACCCGCGTGGTGGGTCATAGCCCAATCTCCCTATTCCATCCATAGGGAAGACCTGTGCCCCAGCAGTGGGGTCATTAATAGGCTGATGATGATGAAGGGGATATAGGTCTATCTTTACCAAGGATAGGCATTTTTCCTTAACATGCCAATATTAACTATCAGAACAGAATGGCAGGCCAAGAAAGTAACTTAGGATTTGAAATCAGTATTTAGGTATAATTTTTAATATTTTAAAGCAAGTAACTGCTTGATGTTTAAATCTATAGAAAATGTAACTAGAAAAAAATCCACGCAGACCAGGCAGCAACGGGACTCGAACCCGCACCCTTCGCAATCCGGGTGAATGCACTGACCAATTATGCTACCGCGGCCCTCATGGACCACGTCAAAATTCCTCTAGCCATTCTTAAGCTGCAAGGCAGCGCCATCTCTTCGCATTATAGGTAACCCATAATGTCAAATGGATACTTACAAGTATTAAACATATGAAAGATCCGCGTGGAATTTTTTCTAGTTATATTTTCTTTAGATTTAAATATCAAGCAGTTACATGCTTTAAAATAATAAAAATTATAACTATAATTGCTATTTCTATTTAATTTAATCAATTTTATGTATTCCTATGTTTAGTATATTTGTGTAAATTCAATTTAAATTTAATTTTTACTATGTTTTTATTCATTAAGATGAATAATGTAACTTTTTAAATAATCACGTCTGCTCATATATTGCATGTTGTGGTCGCCTTAAATAGAATGTACACTGTTTCTTGTTTTGTGAATTTGTGTTAGATTTTAATTGTTCTTTGTATCATTCACTGGTGCTCCTTAATAAATAAATAAAATAAATAAATAAATTTCTTCTTTCAAATGTTTAATACTTATAAAAGTATTCATTTGACATTGTGGGTTACCTACAATGCGTAGAGATGGCGCTGCGTTGAAGCCTAAGGCTAGGAAAAATTCGATTCGAGTCCCGTCTGCTGCCTGGTCCGCGTGGATTTTTTTCTAATAACCTTTCCTTTAGACACTAACTCTTTCCTTACAGACTGTGAAACGGTTGAAAGGCCACGTTTGGGCGATGCATACAAACAGATCTTCTAGTAAGAACTACAAGTGTAAACTGTGTCCGGCCACTTTCGCTTGGCAAACCTCCATCTATAAACATATGAAGATGATGCACGACAACAAGAGGAACAAGGTAAAAATATACACTCAAATAAGCCCAACATCTCATCGATACATTCCTATCCCATAACTGTCAAACTTTCCAAACATATTTGAGAGCCTAATTTATGGTAGATTGTTGCAGTTTTTCTTTTTTTATTAAAATGAAAATCAGTTTGGCATTCCTAATAGAATTCTACCAAGCACGCAATCAATAAAGTCCATACTGAAGTGTCATTAAAAAACCCAAAACAAGATGCGTTGCTCTGTTCCTCGACATGACTAAGGCTTTCGATTGTGTGAAGCGTGATACTCTTTTAAGTTTGGTAGAAAATCTGGGTGTACGAGGAATAGCTTTAAAGAAAGGTTCTTAAAAAATAGAGATCAAATCATTTTATTTATCAATTAGATCTTCGATCAACAATACAAAAGATAACGGGTTAGCGCGTAAAATCCGTCTCAGTAAATATAGCTTCACTTGAGGCGTGAAATCTTATTTTCATTTAGTTTGGTTAATACACAATGGGTCGGTCATTAAAGGTCGTATGTACGAAATAACATTTCGTTATTTGTAACTTTATTCCTTTGTGACATGGTTGTTATTAGGTTTAACTTAAACTGTTTTAAAACATTTGACTTTGTTCATTGGGAATCGATTGCAGCTGCATAAGTATATACTTTTAGCTTTGATTGTGTATCTATAGAATTGTTGACCAAAGAATTAGATAGAACCTTCAAAGAAGTTTATTTTGAATAAAAAAAAAGCTTTTTTAGGTCTACCACAAGGGAGTATAGTAGGGCCCCTTCTTTTTAATTTATATTAATACATTACCTAATATCACAAAAGACTTAGTGTTACGTTTGCTGACGGTGCTACATTTTTTATACCTGACTAGTGGCCTCCCGCGGCTTTGTCCGCGTTAACATAAGCTTTTGAAAATCCCTTAGGAACCTTACATTTTTCCGAGATAAAAAGTATCGTAGGTCTCAATCCAGGTCATGAACAATATGCAGTGCCGTCTTTGACCTATTGTAGGCCCTGGGCATATTAGGATAATGGGGTCCCTATGAACTAGGGACTTTGTATTTGATCTGAGGGGACACCTATTGATCTGCGGGGCCCTGGGCACTTGCCCAAAGTACCCATTGTACTAAATTTCCCCTAAATCTGTTCAGCCGTTTTTGCGTGATTAAATAACAAACATACGAACTTTTACATTTATAATATAAGGAGAAGATTATAATGGTAACATGGTAACAATCCCGTTAATAACATATATTACTATAATGTTAGTGACCATGAAAGTTTAAAACAATATATCATCCAAAGATACCATTGAATTTGAAAATAATATTAATAAAACTTTAAATACTACTGTAGACTAGGCTGTAAATAATGCTAATGATGATGATTGACCAAATGTTGTATTTTTTTTCACAGCAATCCCGTTTACCACCTGTGAAGAAACAAGATCCGTTCCCGGAAATAAATTACTTCCAACAAAACAGTCTCGTCCAAAACATAGTTTTAGTAGCGCAACCCGCAGTACCAACTCACATTGTATAATGAAACTCAAGAAAAAAATAGTTTTATGCACGCGATAAAGTATGTGAAGCGACTTTTGATAAGGCTGCAATTGGGATGGTTGAACGATTAAAGTTTTTGAGTTTTATTAAGCTACAGAAAGCTTGCGTCCCTTTGTAATATTTACAGATGTCGTCTGCAGTTGAAACTTAAATAACAGTTTTATGTAGTATGTACGCGATAAAAGTGTGTGTAACGACTTATGAAAAGGCTGCAATTGGGATGGGTGAGCAATAAAAGATATTGAGATTCTCCTTCGTTTTAAGAAGCTATGGATGTCTATTGTGGCCGTATAATATCTACAGTCGGCAACAGACAGTTTTCCGCTTTGGTTAATCCGCACTGTGGGCCACGAGGTGGTTCATGGCCCATTTTCCCTATTCCATCCATAGGGAATGCCAATGCCCCAACAGTGAGGACATTAGTAGGCTGATTATGACGATGTATCAGTGGAAATTTCTCAAATTTCATTCCGTAGTTGAGTGAAACAAAATTTAAATTAAATAGTAATAATTATTAAGTTTACAAAATCTCATTTAGAAATAATAATAGCTTTATGTACTTGCCATACTTATTTATAAGGTACTTAATTATTTAATAGATGGTAATACTTTTAAGTGGATCAATATTTTTTATACAAAATTAAAAATAAATGAATTTTAAATATTCACGTATCGTTTCATTTTACGCATTGACAATGTCTCGTTAATGATGCGATGAGGGAAGATGCAATATTTTTATTTTTGTTTTCATTTTAAAGAATTCCATGTAGAATAAACCACAGATATATTAAAAAATTAAAATATTGTAATTTATCGGAAAAAATGCAGTTTTAAATTGACAGTTTAAATTTTGGCGCGAAAACTGACCTATGGTTCCGATGACGTCACTCCTGTCTGTCACTGGTCGTACTTTTTCGTCGCTGGCATACTTTTGCATATTTTTACGACTTTCGAGATCATTTTTGTAAAAATTTGAAAAGGACTATCCATCAACATCAGGTGATCATAACACTACCACAAATATTCCGAAAAAAGCCGTGTTGACTCATGTTTTGTGCCAATGTGCCCATCTACTTCAACAAAGTTTCCAAATAAATTGTTTTTGACTTTTGATGGAATTAATTTAAATGACCCAAAACTGAGAAAAAAGTGGTTTCAAGCTGCAAAGAGAAATGAAAATTATTCTCCAAAGACCATTATTCGATGCTGTGAAGATCACTTTGACGTAATTCGGCGAATATACTTGTTAAATGCTTAATTAATCTCCTTGTACGTAAAAACGCGTTAGTAACCTACCTAATACTTACAAAACCTGTCTATAACATATTTTTAATTTTACAGTTGGCGTCGAAAATTGGATAAAGTTTAAAATGTGTGGCACAATCTCCACATTGGCAGGACTGAACCAAGCTTTGCGTTTCATTTACAATAACTGTAACACGATAACCTTCTTTCCGTACTATATGCTCCGAAGTAACTCGACTTTTTACTGTACATAATTCTCCATCTCTTTTAATTTCGACATAGCCGATTGCATTTACGCCCAGTGTTGCCAACTCGGATTTTGAAAAAGGCGTAGTCCCGATGACAAAATTACGTAGAATTAGTAAAAATTGCATATGAAAAGTTCGTAGATCTACGTATTTTTTTTTTGAGAGAAGCTAGTTCGTTAAAACGAGTATTTTGTTATACAATTTATTTAAAAAAAGGAGATAGAACATAGAATTCTTGGAGAAGACGCTACATTGGCAGCATTTACCATGCTGTGGTAGACATTTACCATCAGACACAGACGCTGCTAGGTGTCAATTTGGCATAATTCTCTAAACTTAGCACTAAATTTAACATCAGTCTCTCCTTTTCATTCTGTATAAAGAATGACATGAATACACTGTTATCAAATAGGCTAGTTGACACTTTTTGAAAATATGTTTTAAATGGTTAATAATTGTTATACTAGACCGAAAAAAATGTATTGTAGTAATTATCATGATTGTATTATGAGAGAATGTAGAAACACAACGTTAAAAACTCCAGAAAAGTTGTGGTTTAAATTGCCCAGAGAAATAAACATATCTAACACATGTTTAAAACTTGCTAAATCCTGTAACTTTATCGACTCAAAGTCATTTCTTTTTGCATAGATCACTTCGGTGTAAGTACTGATTCAATAATATTTTAAGTTTAAAAATATTTTTTTTAAGTTTATTAATGTACCTACTAAGTAAGAGAGCTTTGTCGTTTCTGCTTTTACAAATTCGGCGTCCAGCATTAATTTAATTAACAAAACCAATAAACGGAAACTCTTCTACAAGATATAAGAATCTTTAGATATATTTTAGTCCGACGAAAGGAACCATAGTAACACAACAATGACGTTTAGTTGTTTATAAATTTTGTGACGTCATTCTGAATTTATGAAGTGAAATCGATGTATTTCAGTTCCTCATACCAAAAACTATAAGAAATAAACATTTGTATAGTTAACGGAAAATATGCTTCCCTATTCTACTGAGTTATGTTATTTTGCAAATTTGTACAAATTAAAACAAAATATGTAGATTTTGGGACTGAAGTTAGTAGGTTAGCAGATAAGGCCTTAAATACGTAGATCTACGTAAAAAGACGTAGAGTTGGCAACACTGTTTACGCCGTCAGATTCTCTTGTTGAGCTGATATAACTGCTATGTGTAGAAGCCGCTGAATAAAATACAAAGTTTAACAGCTATGATTTTTACATACCGTAGTAATTTAGTCTTTTATTTCTACACTTGAAAACTCTGCACTTTGGACAAAAAAGTTACAACCATGTCAACACTAACTCTTGGTAAATTCCTGGAGTCTGCTTTGATAAACCCAATTTCCATTTTTATTAAAAAACGCAATTAATGTTCCCTTAAAATAATATTCACTTTTACAACCACAGCCCTAATTAAGTTGTAATAACAGGAGTGACGTCACTAAACGCTGATTGGTGTTTTAAAATACGTTTTTTTCAAGTCATTTTTAATTCAATTGTATTTATTGTTAAAAAACAACATTATGTAAAATAAAAAAGTGGCAGTGGCCTTTCTTTTATATTTTTTTAACATTTTAATCATAAAATTTTCAAAAATATTATATTTTCATCTTCCCTATTGTATATAACAAATAAATAAATATTTCCAACCTAACACCAACCTCCGTGGCCGAGTGGTTTGTACGCCGGGTTTCATGGTATCGCCGACTCGAGAGGTCCCGGGTTCGAATCCCGGTGGGGGCAGATGTTTGTGTGATGAATACGAGCATTTGTACTCCAGTCATGGATGTTTAATATGTATTTCTATATAAATATACTTAAATATGTATCAGTTTATGTATTCTATCCGTTACCCTAGCATCCCATAACACAAACTTTACAGTGCTTACTTTGGGGCTAGGCTAATTGGTGTGAGTGTTGGAAATATTTATTATTATTTATTGAATTAGCCTAGCCCCAAAGTAAGCACTGTAAGCAGTGCCGTCTTTGACCTATTGGAGGCTCTGGGCATATTAGGATATTGGGGCCCCTATGACCCCAGTTTGGTCATTTAACAGGAACTAGGGACTTTGAATTTGATCTGACGGGGAGCCCTATCGATTGCGGGGCCCTGGGCACTTGCCCAAAGTGCCCACTGGGAAAGACCGGTCTGACTGTAAGGCTTGTGTTTTAGGATACTAGGGTAACGGATAGAATACATATACTGTACATATATAAGTTTGTTTAGATAGAAATATATAAAAACATAATAAAATTGACAATGACATTTCGCACTCTCAAACGTTACGAATTCGATATTGTTTAGTGCTAGGAGTACGGTACCCCTAGCACGAACCATTATCGAATTCGAATAGTTTGCAAACCGAAATGTCAATGTCAAATTTTGTATGGAAACTTGAACAGCAGCGGCACAAAGTACGTAACGAGAACTAAAAATTACACATTTGACATTTCGGACACGCAAACGATACGAATTGGATATCGGTTCGTGCTAGTGGTACAACTCAGTGCGAAAACCACTGTTTAATTGTCAGCTAAGTTAAAAAATTTGTATTGGTGAACAAATATATTTTTGATCACCCAAAAAATTATAAAGATACTAGTGGCCCGCCCTCGCTTCGCTTCGGTGTAGAGCTGTAGTGTAGACTATAGTTTTTGTTCTCAGGCTTGTATTATACAAAATGACATTCTTCTAATACCTAATTTTAATAGGCACGCGCCGCCAGGCCCCCCGCCCGGTAGCGTCGGAATCGCTCATTTTTAAGGTGTAAAATACTGTAGTACGTTATTTTGATCTATCTCGAAGGGTTCAGCCAGCGTTTGCAACGTAAGCGCAAAAAAATGTGTTTATATACAACCTTACATTAAAAACCTCTAAAATTATCAGTGTTTCTCTACTATTTTATGCATGTATTATACATATAAACATTCCTCTTGAATCACTCTATCTATTAAAAAAAACCGCATCAATATCCGCATAAAGATCTAAGCATACGTAGGGACATAGGGACAGACAGCGGGAAGCGACTTTGCTTTATACTATGTAGTAATTTAATAGGTACAGAAACTGAGCGCAGTTATTACATGGTTAAAAACATAAACCTGGTAAAAATTGACTGACGTTTCATGTCAAGTCACACGGGAACGCTGTCGAACGGGATAAAAAGTATCTTATGTCCGTCTCCTGGCTCTAAGCTACCTCCCTACCAACTTTCACCCAAATCTGTTCTGCCGTTCTTGAGTTATAAGTGGTGTAACTAACACGACTTTCTTTTATATATATAGATAGTGCACTTCTAACTTAAAAAATTGTGTCAAGACGTGACGTCATACGACATTTCAAGTCGATATGTCTCTGTAATATTTGATTATGTGAATTGAGAAAAATACATCTATCTGATAGACGAATAAAAAAAGTATTAGTCATTATCACGGAACACAGAAAGAGATTAGAAGGGCCATGTGTGGGCAAATACTCATAACTTGACCAAATTTTGGTTCTGTTTGTGTCGTTGCTCTCGGGTATGCTGTCGCGTCGTTTGATTAGCTATTATCTATCGTATCTTTTTGGTGGAAGTGAAGTAAGGGCGAGCCGGCGACATCGGTTCGCGTACAAATGGTCTATGATCACTCTTCTAACCTCTTTCTGTGTTCTGTGGTCTCAATCCCCTGGATACATTTGTCAGTGAAAAACCTTTCAGAGATTGTCATTACAAATTCATTACATAATCGAAATTTTCATACGGAACCCTAACTTTTTTGTAAATACTCGATAGCCTATGTTCATTAAGGATAATGTAGTATTCTAAATGTCAAAGAATTTTTCAAATCGGTCCAGTAGTTTCGGAGCCTATTCAATACAAACAAACAATCAAATCTTTCCTCTTTGTAATATTAGTACAGACAGTGACGTCTTTGACCTATTGGAGGCCCTGGGCATATTAGGATAAGGGGGCCCATATGACTTCCGTTTGGTGATTTAACAGGAACTAGGGACTTTGTATTTGATCTGAGGTGGGCCCCTATCGATCGCAGTGCCCAGGCACTTGCCCAAAGTGCCCACTGGGAAAGAGGGGTCTGAGTATAGATTATTAATAAAACCGCATATTTGGTATGGAAAAATCTTTATTAAAATTGTATGTGTATAAGTACTGTTAGCTTTGGCAATATCGGTACTTCTGAGCTTCTGGTAGCG